AAAACACTAACATAATAGTATAGAAATAGTATAGACATATTAGTATATTTTACCTTTAAATTGCATAATAGGTCAATTCACTCTAATAATCAAAACTAACACACAACATTGTCCCTGCTGAATACAAATTTGCTATTTTTACGTTTGTAAGACGAAAATAGCACATGCGGATATCACGTCCTCTCAAACGGGAGGAGGGAGAATATATCCTCTTCCGTGACGTTTTTATCTCCAATATTTATAATAATAATTACATTGTTATAGCTGTACATATAAGGGAGCGTGAGTGTTAAAAAAATATTTGCTTGAAATAGTATTTTAACGAAAACATAATATTTAAAGGAACCGTAATTCGAGAAATAATTTTGATAATGATAAACGATAAAAATTCTGTTGTCGTTAATAATTTAATAATAAAAGTGATAATAATAATTGAACTACTTTCTAAATGATAATATAATTTTTATCATTTATCATTATTAAAATATTATTTTTTGATGAAAGACGTTTCCAATAAATAAGTTTTCGACAAAATACGTTTCTAACAAAATATGATTCCGACAAAATGCATTTCCAATAGAGTATGGTGCGGAGCAGAGCGGGACCCGCTTCGCCAAAATTTTACTTTTCCCATTTCACCCGAATACCCGTTCCGCCCGAACACATTTTAGTCATTTTAAAATTAGGTTGGCAATCGTTTTTTAATAATAATTGAAACGCGTAGAAAATTATGTAATTATGTATATTACAAATAAATATTTTATAAAAATTGTGTAGCGTTGAAATTACTAATAAAAACAAAAGACAAGAATATAATAAAAAACGTATAATTTTATATAGATCTAATGAAATAACTATAGGTTGTGAAAGTGAGTTTGTGAAAAACACGTGTAGACATTTTAAAAATGAATGATTTATATTTTGTGACGATTATGTATAAATAGGTACTTACGTATTCTATTAAATTGTATTATTATGAAAAACCGTGTGAATTCTCTACAAATTCTGCAATTTTTAATTAAGACGGCTAAATTACAAGAAAAAACATACCAAATTCACTTCTCAATGCATACGATACGTACGCGTGTCACATAAACCTACCTAATATTATAATAAATTAACTTTACACTCTTACGCAGACAAACGAATACTAACTAGGTATAGGTATACTATAGTAGTAGTGGATCAAGAATAAAGCAGTTATTCAATGAGCAAGTATATAGTATACCTACATTATAATGAATTATTGAACGTACATATCGGTACCTATTCATGGTTACATTTTAAAATATAATTTATAAATATACCTATATATGTATATACATTTAATGATATAGTCGTTAGGTGAGGTAGTAATTTAAAATGTCTCCTTTTTTTTTTTTTTTTTTTTAAAAACCGTAAAATAAACTCGTTATGAAATTACAATAATATTATTTTATACGCTATGTCCAAGGTAATTTATTTATAAATTAATTATAATCCATATAATACCTGTGTGTGCCCATACGCCGCCGAGCTGTTCGAACCGCGCGGTTATGAAACAAGTGAATGTGATGTCGCTAAAAACGACGTGGTGTGTATAATTATATTAATAATATTATTATTATTATTATTATTAGGTGTGCTGTTAGCATTGTAATATCATGTAGATTTACATTTATGAATAATTATGCGCCGCGTATAATATTACATTATTACCGACGTAATATACATATATTGAGTTATCAAACAAATTTTCGTATCTTAATAATCGATTTAGTTTTCGACATAGACGTATATATTTTATGGATTCGTCCGTTTGCACGTCGCGTTAAACCGAACATCTAGAATTTCTCTTTTTATGACAATATTATAACGTAAATACGCACCATAAACGATACGCAAAAGTGTGCGGTTTATTTTACATACACATAAAATATTAACTTTAAACTTGCACGAAAAAAAAATATATATTTATAATACAGAATTGTATGTACCATTGTACCAATAGATTTATTCTATTATAGAATTTGATATTCAATTCCCATATTTATCTAGAGTTATAGTTAATTCGATTTGAAAATAGCTGTCCTAGAATAATGGAGATGGGTGCAGCCACTGTTGTAGATGGGAAGACGGGAAGGTAGGATATATACGGGAATTCAATGCATATCTGTAAGCAACGATTAACCATTAATAACGAAAAACCTATTCTGAGCGGAGTTCGGTTGATAGTGTTTCTTTGTCAACAATATATAGGTATGGTAAAATAATAATTACCTATGCGTTTAACATTTTCTTTAATAATATTTGGTTAATATTGTACCTCATGATTTTTCCCGGTTTTTTCCATTTTTTGAGAAAACTCCTAGGAAAATCAAAAGATTACCTTCCAAAAGTATCTCCCTAGTCAGATTTCTTTTTAAAACAATTGCTGTCATTGTAAACCGGAACAAAATTGCTGGTAGAAAAATTGTCCACAGAAAAAAATAAATAAAATTCATTGTAAAACCAATACATTCCTCGCTCCACTCAGAATCTAAAAAATCAAAATAACTTTTTAAACCGCATTAAGGTAATGACGGGAAATAAAGTGTGTTTACGTGCAATTTTTAATAAATACAAATTGGATAAATGCGCATTCACGACTCCGTGTAAACGCGGTAAACTATTGTTTATTTTATAGTTTGTCAAATGTATTATAGGTACTTCGTTTAATGAAAGGCCACACGCCAACATCGTTTGTATAATATTTTATATTTTTTACACTCCTTTACAAGATACATAGTAGGATTTTTTTTTTTTTTTTTTTTGTATAAACATAAATAACTATGCTCGGATATGTAATAGTTGAGACAAAGGCGAAATAGAAGAAGAATATTTATTTACACCTCGAAAATGCATTTGTAGGTAAATCGAATTATTTTCAAAAAGTACCTTTTCGTATATAAAAACGCGCGCGGTTTGAGATTTATTTGTTATATTTATTGAAAACTAGTACTAACAGCGCGAGTAACTAACAAATACGAGAATAATAATACTAATGACGCGTTTAACATGATGTTGCACGTGTTTACAATGAATATAATATTATACACCCGTAAGACATTATAATATAATATAACCGAATGCAGACGACTTCAAAGTGTCAAACTAAGTGAATATAGCAATAATTTCATTATAGCATTAAACTGACGAAAGTTGGCGGTCTGGTCTGTACGTACATACACCTAGGCGCAAGGGCTTATAACCGACTTAAATAACTTATATAAGACTTACAAAGACCCACACCTAACCGTAATTCGCGCAGCGAATTATACGATTATATTTTTAACTACATGAGTATATATATATATATATATATATATACACAGATATTAGGCATATTCGTATACAATACCGATGTCGTTGACAGTACGTACTATTCAGGTTCGATCCGGATTCCGGTACCGTATTGACATCAATAGTATTTCGATACGCGCACACGCTAATGATGGGAAATAATATCATCGGTAATACGTGTAAAAATTGATACAAAATTAAATCAAATAAAACGGAAAAAAAAAATGTGTAAACCGACTAAAAATGAAATGCTCGTGCATCAGATTCTCGCGATATTCAATTCGTTGTTACGCGATTGAAATTTCGTGTCGAAAACTCTAAGTTTTACAATCGTCTCAAAAAAAAAAAAAAAATACACAGCCTATTCATTAATACGGTTATTAACGAAGTAATTTTTGTCATATTTATTTGCATATTTAAAGGAAAAACAAAATAATGCATATATATTATTATCTCCGCGTCCATCGATAATCAATGAAAATGTAATTTATTCGCTGTACACCGTAGCCGGGGTTATTCCGCGTATAATAATAATTATGCATTAAAATATAAATGCGGTGAAAATATTTTATAGATACATTGGTATACAAAGCAAATAAATTTGCTTAGCTAAATTAAAATGTATAAATGTATACATAAAAAAAAAAACCAAACAAAGCCCGGATAGTATTGTAATAAAGGTTACAATATGTGTAAACACGACCGGTTTCGATTTTAAAAAATCGCCATCAAGTAACAGCTTCGCTTTGCTCTTTTTCCATAATGTATATGTATTTGTTTTGCATAATATATACGTTTTTTTTTTTTTTGATATTTTATAGAGTTTTAATCTGAAACAACTTGTTTTTTTTTTTTTTTTAAATATACACATAAATAATACATAGGATTCGGTTCCGCTGTCCGGGAAGCGGGTACCGTGCGTGTCCCGTATAGTTTCACGAAGCGTCACGAGGCAGAACCCCGCGCGTCCCTATAATATTGTATAATACGAAGTCACCGTCCTCTGGTCCGCGCACATCGTATAATAATATCATGCCGACAGCGCTGATCGAAAATCACAGTCAGATTCGCCCGGCGGCGTTATACCGACAAAGACTACGGGGGCGGCGGCGGCGGCCTACGCGTTGATGGGTGGCGACGGTGTTGTAGTAACGCGATGCGTATATGACGCGCGCACGACGCAGTGATACGGCCGGCCACGGTGGACAGAGAAATGTCCATCCCCCCTCCTCCCTCCCCCGGCGGCGCACAACTGACGTGACAGAAATCGGGATCGGGGGTCCGTTCACCTATACGGTTGCCGCGGTTTGCACGAAGCGGTGCGCAGGGGTAGTAAACACACACACTCTCGCACACACACACACACACATATATATATATATATGTATAAAGGTGGGTAATTAACGGCCACTGGCTGCGATACGTGTATACATCACGCGGCGGTTACGACTACCACCGACGACGGGGCCGTCGGTGGTCGCGGCGGCGGCGGCGACGGTGTCGTGGCGGTGACCGGGTGGCGGAGACGTGGGCGGGTGCTGCGGTGCCTGCCCGGTATACGGCGCGAAGGGACCGCGACGCGCACCACGCCCACCACGGGGACGCGCGCGCGGCTTTCCGACGACGACAACCGGCGGCGGAATCGCGGTGTGGCACACGCTTCCTTATCAGTCCGGGGACGACAACGGGATCCCGTGCCGCTACCGTCGCCGATCGACGTCGCTCGCTCGTTCGCTCGGCCGCTCGCTAACCGCTGCGCGGTCCCTCGTCTCGTCCGCACACTCGAATACTTATTGTATTATTATAATATTCCCTCGTGTTCTCTCGTAATATACGTTTCGCTACTTAAGTATTGCACTTCCGCGGTATTACGATAATATTATATCGTGTTCGACTAGGTCCATCTCTACACAGTACCTATACGCCTCGCGCAGTTTCCGAGATTTTTCAGAGACGACGACGCCGCGATTAAATTCCAGCAGTCGACGCAATTTCATATTTTCGAGATTTATCCGACAATATAGTTTCCGGTCCCGTCGCGTCACCAGAAGACATTACATCGCGAACCGTGGACACCGGCTGACACAACACGGCGGAAGAAAATCCAGCAAAAATTAAACCGTTTTTGAACAAGGGTAAGTCGCCACTGCGCACAGATACTGCCACTTACTCGTCGCCGACATTGGCGTGATAATTTTGAACGGGAATAGACGCAGTACTGGGTAATAATAACGAATAAATTGCAGATTCTTTTGTTGAGAATTTAAAAGTCCTGTCGAAAAAAAGTAAATTTGTAGTAAATAAATCTGACTTATTTTCTAGTAATTCGCTTAAAATTACTAAATGAACACTCATAGTTGTCGTGTTTTTAAGTCGATGAGAGATATAGCCCCTAACGTCCCTTCTTGCACACGCCACTGAACACTGGTTAATTTGAATTACATAAAATCACGAACGACTGGTAGGTTTATATCATTGCAGGTTAAATACTGTATATGTCATAGTAATCATGCGAATCTATGTATATAGATTCAAAATGATTATTTTTTACGGTTTTAGTATATATTTTTTTTCAATATTTGATGTTTAAATCACACTGCGTATTATAAATAGTGGCGGACTTTTGACTAATATTTAAATTTCAACGATCCTTCCGATAGAATTACACAAATATTGTTGAAAACTTTAGACTGTTAAGCTATAGGTACCCGTGTAAACAGGTAGTATTTTTTTTTATATACAGGTACATCGTGTGTTTTATAATTATATTAACCGATATCAACTGCAATTATACAGATTTCAAGCATTGTACCTATAAACTTAATTAAAATCGATTTAAATACAAAACTATATGCAATTTTGAATTTTTATTTTATATATAGTACCTGTCTAGGTACTATACATAAAAAATAATATTCGAGTATAATTTAAAGCACGACGTCCATCAATTATTATATAATTTTAGTTAAAAAGGAAGTGGCCGTATACAATAGATTAATTTAATTTTATATTTTTCATTTTAGTCTCATTAAAAAAAAAAAAAAAAAAAAAAAACAAAAAATTGTAACAATGATAACATTTTTTTTTTTTAGTTATAATAATTTCCACATTCTATTATTATATTTTTCCATACGTATAATATCATAATAATTGAAACAGTAGAAGTTAATTTTATATTTAATTAAATATGGGATATTATTCTAAATTATAATAAATTGTAATATAATAATAATTAATCAGTATAATAATAGAGTAAATTAATGTCAACATCGTGACATTGTCTCGGAAGATTTTTTTATTGTCACCATCATATTATAGTCTTGAGATGTGACGTACAATATAAATTGTCATTTTTGAATTAACACATTACGTCCAATTAAACAATACGAGTGTACATATTACAATGGATATTAAACGAGTTTAAATTATTAAATTTCTTTGATACTGTCTGTGTAATATAAATTCATTTTTATTGAAGACATGTTCGTAAAATATTCATGTTGCCTAATAATATAATGATAATTTAATTTGATAAATATTAGTTACCTAACTACCTACCAACTCCTACAGGGTACCGAAAATTCATTAATTTATAGTATTTAAAACTTTATTATTTAGTTTAAATAACGGACGAGTATATACCCCGCAGATGCGCGGATCACTATAATTTCATAACGTTTAACCGAAATTTGGTTTAAACTTATTGCGTTATAGTATACTTTTTAATCGAATTTGCAACTCGATCTCGGCCACGTATATATATAATAATGTTATAAAAACCGTTTTATAAATATTGAATATTATATTTTAGTAAACTTTATTAAATAAAACTGTGTGTATATATATATATAGGTAAGTTTACATTTTAGAAAATAAACATTCTATATAATTGTTTTTAATTTTAATGTCCTAATAGCATTACGAAAATTATACAATTCAATTTATATAGTAATAATTTGACACTTTATAAAAATTTGACTTTGTATTAATTTTTGTTTTGTTAAAACTCTATTGGGTTTACTCGTACACCTAATGTTTAAAGTAATACACTATAATATATTATAATAAAGTGTTTATTCGAATTATTAAAGGTCTATATTTTCTATGACAAATAAAATATATTTTGTATTTGTAATTCGTAAATCGAATACCAATATTATTGTTATTATGATTAAATTAAAAATAAAATCCTTCCAAATTGTAGAAATAAGCGATATCGTATAAATCAAATATCAAGAGCTAAATGTATATGTACACGTTAAGATGGTACCTATGTATTTATTACGTATTAATATATTTAAAAAAAAAAAAAAACGATTTTTGTGATTTAGGCACTTTATAATCACAATACGTTTACAACTACTGCGATATAATAATTCACGAGTGGCCGAAGCTTATTATTATTATTGTTTAACGGAATTTATAAGAAAGACTCCGGCGTCAACTAATCGCAGTGTGCGCAGAGAGAATATTATGCGAATTATGTGACAGGAATACCGATTGAAATTTCGTGGCGAAAAAAATCGCAATCGCCATTGTGCGATCCGTGTGTTTTGATGTGTTCAAATAAACGGATCAAAGGAAAAAAAAAAAAGAAGAACGTTGTGAACACATAATAAAATAACAATACGGGCTTTATATGCGTCTGGTGGCCGTGGTACAAATCGACACTGTACAAATTGACACCTCCGGTTCGAAAATACCTATACGGAATGATATATTTATATATATCGACTATCGTCGTTATTACGGCGACAATAATTTACTTTTACCCCTTCTGTCTTTAGCATTAACGACGGTCGGTGGTGAGCAGCGACTTGTACACGACAATCACGTACGGCTCAGTAACAGACACTGCGACAAACATTTGTGTCGGATGTGTGTATACACCGGGTATAAATTGTCCTTCCACACCGTATACCCAGCCACCAATATAACAATGTATTATTATAGTGGTTGACTCTCCTCGACGAATGAAATCTAGTGTTAAAATGACGTTTTATTTTTTACCCTTGATGTATAGAAACGTTCTGGAAAACTCAATTATTATTATATATATATATATACATAGGTAACAAAAGACACGCATCCCTGGACCGTTTTCGCGTATTTCGTTTTAGACATTGAACTTTAGTTGTCCTTGTTGACCTTGAGTTTCACCACGAATACCTACTTATAATTTATACACATTTAGATTTCACTAGGTTTTTCCGTTTTAATAAAATACTTTACAAAACGTGGTTTGTTAAAAATCGATTATCGAATTAACGAAAGTCCCCGAGTTTCAATTGCAACATTTTGTTTTTCAATACAACAATATCGCTGTAAGTTCTATGATTTGAATATCACAGACCCTATATTATAACGGATCTAAATACACATTTTACCGTAATACACCATTAATACCACTTCAGTCATGATTTTAGAAGTTCCCACAAATTAATTAAATTCACCTCGCCTATGTAGGTGAGTTTTATATTAAATGGTGCCCGATGCCAGCGCGTTTTTTAGCTCCGTCTAACGGGAAAAACTTTCTTGCCCCGTAGAATATGGTCCTATCTTGACCATTATTTTTTTCGCTAGAAAGATGAAAATTTCACACGGTTCGGCTTGAATTCCGTTTTTCAGTATTTTAATCTCAAATTGTATAGGGTTATTAATTTTATGAGTTTTTTTTGACTACATTTTTTTTTTAAAATCATTATTCGAATCAAATACAAATCCAGAGTTCAACGCGTGCTATAGAATTTTATTGTTTATCAGTCAATAATAATAATAAATAAAAAAAAATATTTAATTGACAATAATAATATTTGTTCCCAATATCGTCGTAAAGTCATGTGCAGCGGTTAAGTTCTTCCCTCTAAATGTATATCAGGTATAGTATAGATTGTAGTGGAAAAGTCTTATCATTAAGGCGGCCATTCTCTCTTCTCTCGCAATGACACAATAATTCTTTTAGAGTTTTTGCCACCATTACGCTGTAATATGTATTTCGTCACCTATCATCTCTACCTTAAACTGCGTATCTTCAGTTTTCAACCCCCAGGTTTTCGAGGCGGTGATTAAAATATTAAAAATAGTTTTCAAATTTTACAAAATTGAAATAAAACGTGGAAAACCGACACCGTAATTGTATGCGTATATCTAATGGACAATCAATTAAAAGATTTCAATGATTTATCACATGAATTAGTTTAACTATATGAAAATGAACGTGTAGGTAGATAGGACAGTGCGTCAGTAATATAATAATGTTATAGGTAATTCAAAACGTATGCTGCAGATTCACTATACATGTATATTGTATATATATATATATATATATATACATATGTACGAGCATATACTCGGTTCCGGTTAATATACGTGTAGGAAGCACCAGTTGAGTGTGCAATTGCATATACAACAGCATATTCTGCAAAATAGATGTCTTTTAATTAATTTAACGGAGTCGGTGTAGGCTATATTATGTATGTATACTAATTTAAACGGGCAATAACAACGGAAGGACGCGGACGGTATTATATACATATACACGACGAAGTGTACCCTTTTAATTTCAATTAGGTCCTAGTCGGCTTAAGTATTATAACTTATGGGCAGGAGGATGATCCGGGAAAGGAATAGGGAGGGGACGGCGGAGGTGGTTGTAAAAGCGGAATTTAGAGAGGGGAAGGCGCATTGTATTCGTATATTATAATATAATAATAATTGTAATATACGGGTGACGGGTTTCTATATTATTAGGTCCCATATATTACAAATAACAATAATTAACACTATACACGAGCCCTGTGCTGCACAGTATATATATATATATATATATATACTATAGTGTACATTGGTTAATTAGTGCACATATATAAGGGAAACGATAATATTATAACTACAGACGTATATATACGTAAATTGGCTAAATTAATTTAAATGGATCCGTCCTAATTAAGCGACAAATAATAATAAATCGACACACGCAGCACGTCGAATTTTTTTTATTATTTTTTTTTTTTTTTTGTTTTGTTTTATTATTGGAATTTGATTTATAGCTATAATAGCCTCGAAGGACGATCGCGACCGCGGCCAAGTAGGACGGTCATTATCATGATGATGCCGCGTGCAGTGTTCGCAATAATGAACGAATAATATTCGCGAGACCAATATTGGCAAAACATTAAAAAGTTGTTCGCCTGTAACACATTATTGTTAATTGATGACGGGGAAACCGGTTCTGTATATCACTATATAGACAAACGGCCATAATAATATACAATAACGATGCGAATAAATAATATTATAGTCGCGTGTACATCTTTGGTCCCAAGGAAGAAGGGCTTAAATGAATATTTGGGTTTTTTTTTTTTTAACTATGCAATTTATTTACGATTACCTTTTGGTCTTAATTCTTTAAATCACGTTATAATTATATGTGACATAAGCCGTTTACAACGACTGCATACATATAGGTTATAGGCCGTTGAGCATTTTCCAGAAATTATTATTTACTTGTATTGAACACTATACGCGATTGACTTAAGCCTAACTTTCCCAGAACTAACAAAATAATAACATGATATTATTAGAGAACGTAGAATCATTGTTATTATAATTGTGTTTTTTTTTTTAAATAAATTTATAATTTTTAAACGTTTTATATGTTGAATTTACGAGGACAACATGTAAAAATTATATAGTAACTATAGTATACGGTTGTTAAACGAGAATATTGACGTACATATTTTAAACGAGAACAAAACACGCAGAAAGACGTAATCGTACGTATACGTACAAGTGGATGCGGTCATTCAATATTCAATTAATTTCAATTAACAGCATTGTATGCAGATACGCGTTGTTATGGACTTCTACATTATACGAATATAAAATACAAAATATCGCGTGTTATTATTGCTTATTAATACAGTTACGAGAGTATATTATTATCACAACGATTGAAATCAATAATAATAAAAAAAAAAAGTCAATACTGCTCACGGGTCGGTCATTTATTATAGGTGGGTAGTAGAAAGAATAGGATACACAGAGTAATTTTACTTAGATACTATGCAATAGTAAATCAATGTGAAAATCAAACGATTTTGTGAGGAGTAATAGTTATGTTTTCGTGTTTTTCCATTGTTGCCATGAGCAGCCAAAAAAGAATACAAAGAAAAAAAAGACACCAAGAGGTAAACTACTGAAAATGTCGATAAATATTTCAAATAAAATACCACTGGGCAAAAATTCGATATCTTTTAAGGTACTGCGTGAACAAATTGGAGCATTTGTCAATCAAAGAACGTGTTTGAAAAAAAAAAAAATGTTAAAATAGTATTAGGATATAAGAGGAATTATTAAAATAAAGTATCGTCCGAAAAAAACCTGCATTATTTAACGTACAACATGAAAAAAACTGAGCATTTTTATTGATTTTTAAGTATTTTCTAAGAAAATAAAACATACCTCGATAAAACTAATAGATTCTTCGCTATTCACTGAATCTAAAAAAGCGCATTACACCTACTTTTGATATAAAATATGTAGTGAAAAAATATTAGGTTTCATTTTATTTATTTATTTTTTTTGTAATCACCGCTGGTTTATAGAATCAACCGTTTATTGGCAATTAGGTACTTTCGTGAAATTCAATCCCGTTAATACAACGTTGTTAAACTGCTCTTCTTTTTTCATATATAGATAATATATATTATATTAAAAAAAAAACAAAACAATTGAATAATAAAATCAAAACAATATCTACTAACGTTATAATCTGAACCGTAAAACTACGTAAAAATACAACCATCGCCTCACTTATATAATTTTATTTAACACTACACTTAACAAAATAATAATATTATGATGATCTAACTTCATGCCATCCGTCAAAAAAATTTGCTTTTATAGTACAATAACTAAATTACCATACATCCGCTAGGGAGGGAATGTATTATCAAGCCACCGGCCCAAGATTATAACAATTTCATACCTAAATCATAAATAAATTGAATTAAAAACTAGTATGATTTTACGTAGTCTATCGAGATTTTACCAATAATAGTGGTGCGAAATATGTTTGAATTTTAGACTTGGAGGGTAAGAGGGATCTATTGGTTTTACTATGATGAGTAGTTTCTTTCTGTCTGTAAACAACTTTTCGATAAGAAAACTTAATTTTTATTTGGTAGATGTTTTGAGGATACAATTGTTAGACTAAACAGAAATGCTTGAAAATTTAATAAGAGGTTAAATAGAAGTAGTATTTAATGGCCAAAAAAAAAATTGAGTAGATAAGGTAGTGTTTTTTTTTATAAGTGTTTGAATTTCCAATTTTGGAGATATTATGGTCTTTCAAAACATGTATAACCGAAATTTGCTCCTAATCGTTTTTCGTTGGCAATGGTTTATTTATCGTTGTTAAGATATGGAATTAAATAACTTTACGTATTTTACCATTCTAACTTCTCACCTACAACAATAGTACAGTATCAGCTTTTTTCTTTAGTTAGTTTTAGGGACAGAGGTATTTTAATTGTTTGTAGGTTTTATTAATTTATTTATTACTCATTCTTACTTAATATTGAATAACAGTATATATTTATTTGCATGATAAATATATTTTTTTTTATGAAGTTTTTGGCAATGTAATTGGTAAATATATAGAAAATAGGTAATAATATTATTGTTTTCATATTTTACAGGAGCAGCTGGCGGAATGTTCTGCTATCATTGCCCAGCGCCCCCATTACACCCTACACCAGCAACTCGAATTCCGTCAATCGACTACCCGTTTTCGTCGTCTCATCCGTGTAAGTATTATACTATCACAAGCACTATAAATTAGGTAAATAGATCATTTTTGTATACATTTCAATTTAATTGATTGTGATAATAATTACCAATTATTAATTGTCTTTAAATTACAAAGTCGTAAAATTATACAAAATAAAAGCTCTACAACTGTTACATATAAACTTTTTATAATATAAGTGGGTAATTAGTAATAGATATTTTAGATATATCTTATTTTAATGTTTAAGGTGTTTGCCCGTGCACAGTACCTATTAAACGTAAAAAAATAAAAATGTGTATCCCCGTTTCTACTTCCGTCCCTAACAAAATTAACCATTGTTGTCTAGTAACTAATTTGTTTTTTAAAGATATTTATTTGCCCATGGCATCCAAGTTAACTGATAGCTTGGTTTCATCAGTGTTGCAAAGGTAACCCAAAACAAAAAAAAATCTTAATTTTCATTCTAAAAACACTAAAATACCGTGTTGATCGGTTGGTCTACACCAGTTTTGGGTTTAAATTTCTGATATCCCGCTTCGAAATGCAGCAAATGGACCCTTTTATCAGCATGCATATGTGCATTTTCAGACCTTTGTGTTTGATAGATTCATATGTACATAGTGCACAAGCTAACAAACAGACATATCGATATTATTCCTTTAATTAACATAAATTATGTCATTTAATTTTCAAACATAAAGATTTTCCTTAATTACTATCAATTTTATCTTCAGTTTCTAAAACGTTTCCTTTTTAATTGTATTTATTACGATTCTGTTGGTACTGTTGGTACAAGCAATAACGAATTTGCTGCGTTAAAATAGCGGTAATAAATTAAGGTTTAACAACGTATAATATTATATATTTTAAAGAAAACTTGAACATAATCTTTTTGCATCCAAAAAATAATCTACAAACGCGACCGCGTAACCCGGTATAATTTAATTCCGGAAATGAAAATTTTTCCATGAATAATGAGTCCGGATTATCCTCCATTACTGGTATACGCAATAATAATAATAACAAGCCTTAATTCGTTGGTTTGAAAGTTTTCTGGGGCTCAAAGATCCGCGACGTGGTTAAAAATTTAAGTTTCAATTTCCGAAAGCTTGTTTTCATGGTGCTCGAGTTCAGTAAAAGTTCCGCGCTATTGTTGTTGGTCGGGTTTTTTGTATTATACGCGAATAAAATATGGGAAAATAAAAGCTATAGGTATATTGATAAACTTTGTATTATGCGCGTGCACCCCGGAAGAGTTCAACGTTGTGACTGGTAATGTCATAATTCTATTTAAGCCGATTACCGGAGGAGAGGACGGGTGGTTTTAAAGCCGATCTTATTGTTCTTGAAAAAAAATATAACTCCCATTTTACAGAAAAAAAATCCCAAAAACCTACAGTGCTTTTAAAATAATATAAAAATGCGTCGCGCTTGCGATTTAAAAAAGAAAATATATATATATATATATATATATATATAAAACCACGGTAACCCGATATAGTGTATGTGTGTGTGTATTTTCAAAAGTTATTATATTTCTTTAGTCCCTCGGGGACACAAGGCCGGTCGTTGGCTGCTGTGCATAATGGACCGCAGTGCTTGGGTAATTGGCGCCCATCTGTCTAATGGTCGAACAATTTGTATTTAAGCATTGGCCCCGTCCGATTCGATTATATTGGTATTTCGGGTGTACTGACGAAGTGTAACGTGATTAATCAATGATATGCGTTGAGGTCGTATCGAAAAAGGGGAAACGTCCTACTGGAACACATAATATAATATATATGAATATAATGTGAAAAATAAGATTACGTATTATTATTATATATACTGTAGTTCTCGAGTGTTTATGTAGTTACATACCGACAAAGGGTCAGAAATTAGGGGGTCTTCTGTACACTTTGATCGTGGAACCTCGCGGGCTATAAATATTGATGACAATTACATTTTTGCACAGCTCTCGGTAAATTATAAACGCGTGAATTGTATATTACGTATACATATCATATAATATATGTACGTATCACGGGACGCGCGCAAAAAAATATACTTAACAGATTATATTATGGTGTATGATAAAAGCATCTCTCCTACTATACTATTATAGGACTTAATAATATTATATATAAGTGAATAAAGGTTATATTTATTAATACTTATTAGTTTTAGATTCTAAGAGAAGCGAGAAATGTATTGATTTTAATATGATGTTTTTTTTTTTTTTGTCTGTTATTAACTTTTCTATGAGAAATCTTGCTTCAATCAAAAACTTTATAGAAATTTCCCTATCGCATTTTAGATCTAGTTGGTGTACCGAGGAGGTCATTTTCGATTTCCTTTTCCTTAATAGCGATTTTGATATAATTTTGGTTAATTTCTGGGTTACCTTGACAACTATGGGAAAAATACGACTTCTAATACTCTGCTCAGAATCATTTTTCGTTTACGATAATTTATCTCAATTGAATATCTCTAATATACACTCTCCCTTCCAATATCCCTTCTAAAATAGTGGCGTACCCATCGGCAGTATCGGCTTTTTAAACTTAAGCTTTTAATTAGTTGTTAACAATTATAATACACACCAAGATAAGGAAATATATCATTTATAATAAAAATATTATTTCAAATAGGTATAGTATGTATTATTTTGTTTAAGAAATAAGAAATTGTAATAAAGTTTGATAATATATTTTCTAGAAAAAAAAGCTTGGGTAAATATTGAATATTTATGAAGAACACATTTAAATATAATTTTTTTATATATATATATATATATGAAGATATATATTTACAACACTAAAATAATATAGATAAATGATGATATTGTTATAAAGTGTAGATTATAATAACCACAATATGTATATGCATACATATTGCGGTTCTACAGTGTAATAATATAATTTGTTGATCGTAAAATGTTTAACATTATAATACATGGCCCTTTAAAGTGTAAGTTCCAAACTTGTATAAAAGCTTGATTAGATGATGTTATAATATATTGTCTAAAACTTTACGGTAGCGCAGATATATTTGATTATACCTAAGGATGTACGCCGGCATCATGTACCCCCGGTAATCCCAATATTTACCTACTATAATAATATATCCACCACTTTGCCAAAAAACCATTACGGCTCATTACGCCGGTGCCAGACCGAGCTGTGTATGAATATTTCAAAGGCGCAGCTAACGAAAATTTCCATAATACAATCCTGAAGGAAACCCACCGTTCCTCGCCCCGCTACCCTCGAACCATAATTAGGTTCATTCCTCCTTAATTAAATTCCGGATAGAATCCGTCCCGAAGCCCCTCGAGACTGTTCGGCCCTGCTCGGCGTCTTGTTCCATGATTCACTTAGGAGTTAAACGTTGTTAGGCGACGATAGCTTTTACTGGGATATACCATCGTCCCGGTCCCTTTTGTAGTTCCTCTCCCCATACCCTGTTTATACTCACCTACTCTAGTTTTATCCGGATAAGACGGACCTTTAACTACATTTTCAGTTTTACACCATCAGTCACGTATATATTATATATAGTGAGCAAAGTAGGTAGGTTCATTGATTTACTGTGTATACCTAACGAATGTTTTCACGAGCCCTCGCTATTTACAAATTACAAAATAATAAATAACATTATCGTATTGCCGTCCATTTCCACCTTTTGTATAAAATGATTATAAATTCAATTATACTTTAATTATACAAAATTACTATAGTTAACAAATTGTTTAAATGGATTAAGGACACCTACTAACTATAGAGCAAGCATATTGTTAATTTCAATATAGATTCACTAAATCACAATTCTGACATTCGATTGGGAAGCTATACAGTTTATTTTTAATTTTAACTAAAATTAATTACAACATATTTTAACAATGTGTTTTAGAATCGGAGTGTAGCAAGGGGTCTATTGGTTTAACTATGATGTATGTTATTTTTTTGTCTGTAAATAACTTTTCTTCCAGAAATCTTTCTTCGGTGTATAAAATGTAGCATCTTTAATGAAAGGAAATTTTATCTAGTTAGTAAATTAGAGAGATAATTTTTTAATTTTCCAAGGATTTTTCAAAATAATTAGGAAAAACCAGAAACAAAATTTGGGTAAAACGGGAAATATTTACGGCGTGCCGTGGGGCATTATTGAATTCATTGTTTATGATTTTTGAAAATTATGTTTTCTTCCAGAAATATTGCTCCAATATAAAAAAAGATACCTCTTGTGTTGCTTTTTGATCTAGATGCTAACAAAGAAAGTCATTTTTGATTTAATAGTAATTTTGATTTTTTGATAAAATCGGAAAAAGACGAAAAAGACGAAAAATGAAAAACAAACATATTAAAAATTAATAAATTTACGGCATTACGATTTTATTATTTAAAAATATTACACTCTATGTTTTCTACCAAATATATTGCTCAAATATAAACAAGAGACCTTTTTTGTTGTATTTTTAATATAGTTGGTATATGGAAGAAGTCATTTTCCCTATAGTTCTTTTAATAACTGAACAAAACCGAAAAAAAAAAAACATATAAAGAACGGGAATATTTACAAAAATAATGCTTTTATTATTTTTAGTTTTATTTTTTGTAATAATTCAATTAAAAATATTCATAGAGACTTAACATTTTGACAAAAAATTATGTTTACTTTATATATGTGTGGAAAATTTTGAAAATGTTTTAGCCATTTATGAATTTTTATAGACGCTATAATTTGGCTAGTTTATTTATAAAAATTTTATTTGTTAGGTAGGTATTCTGTGGATAAAATTATTACACTAAACAGAAATGCTTGACAATTTAAAAAAAGGTTTATTATAAGTCGTATTTAAAAAAAATATGAAGAATTTAAATAATATTGGACAATAAAAATTGGACCTTTGTCCTTTGTATAGTTAATTTTAGAAGATGAAGCCTATTATAACTAAATGCATTCTTCGAAACTATGACTAATGGCTGTATCATATAAGTTACGTTATTATTAATTAAACCTATGATTTTATTCTGTTCTAGATACTAGTTATTCGTATCATCCTGCAATTCACGATGATTCATTTGTTAGACGCAAACAAAGGAGGAATCGAACTACTTTTACTCTACAACAGGTATATTATAACATTAAGACATTTTCTGAAATTAAGTAAGATGATATTTTAATAAAAACATATAATTTTTATATCGATAAATAGAAATATACAATATGAAAATTATATTATTTTAAATTTTACTCTAATAGAAAAATATCATATTTACGTGTAGGTATAAAATAAATACAAAATAACATATTTTAATAAAATTATAAAATTTCATAACGTATGAGATACAATTCTAAAAAATTGGATTCAATCAAAGTATATAATTAATATAATTATTAAAAATAAATATTACATACACGGTATAGGCTCTACCGTGTCACATAAACATTTTTAAATTTTAGTAATTATAATATATAGGTATATTTTGTATTAAATACGATTACATAATATAATATCAACTCGTTAAATTATATGTTTTAAATGTTAATACTGTTTTATATTGTAATACCAATTCACTAACTATATGAAAATAAAATGTTTTTCGATTTGATTTAGCTCGAAGAATTGGAAACCGCATTTGCTCAGACTCACTATCCAGATGTATTTACTAGAGAAGATTTAGCAGCTAAGATTCAATTAACTGAAGCTCGAGTTCAGGTATATCAAATCATATAAAATCACACATTTCGCCCCATATGGACATAATATCTACTCACTTTTATTTAGCACTTAGAAATTTAGACTGTTTGGTCAGTATCAACGATGGTTTAATTTTAGAGACAACAAAATTAATTTCTTCTTTTTGGTTGTATTTTATTTCAAGAATATCATTATATTATTATCGTAAAATGTATTATTTTAAAAACTTTTATTGAAGGCGATAAAATAATGGGTAAAAATATATTGTATATCAATATATTGTAAATCATTTTGTATATGTGTATAATTAATAAACACCAATAAATTTTAATTATTTTGTTGATATACCGTAGTTACGCCTTTGTGGCATTTAATTCGATACGAAGGCGAACATAATATCATTCCCTTTATTTTTACGCAAACATTTCAAACATCGCGGCCATAATAAGTAAGACGGTGCGGTTGCCGTGGCAACGTGTCGGCTTTGGCCGCCATTGAATACACTTAAGGGGTTAACTTAATAAAATCACTGATGTAATAAATAATATGACCAACTTTTAAACCTTTATTTTTTTTTTTATATATACAATTATATAATTTGCGAAAGAGTACATCAATCTATCATGAAGGCTAAAAACTTAGCTCCTCAATTAAATAATAATATACACTTTTTCATTAAAAACGTATTTGGCACGTCGTGACGACCACAAATGATCGATGGAAAATTCGATTTCCAAGCTATAATCGTATTTAAACTTTTATACTGGGACTAAAATAAAAACAAAAACATATATAATATTATTTCGCATGACAAAAGGCTAAATCTAAATGCAACGAAATGTAAGAAAATGTGAATAATACGCTCAAAGTATACCTGTTTATTGTTTAAGAAATAATTATTGTTTATTCAATTTTCTTTGGTATAATATACGAGTCTCAACTTTCAAATATTCTTCATCGTACCAATAATGGTTAAAAAAAACTCACCAAACTAACTTATCGTAATCAATAAGATAAATTTAATCAACTATACTTACTATATTTACCTAAACTTCTCCGGAAAAATAAATCCAGATATTATTTTGAATCTTTCTTGAAGTGAATATTTTTTAAAAAAGTATAAAACACTGACAAAATTATTCTGAATTTATCTACTAATCTCTACTAACGTCTAACCATTTATTTTTCTATGATCTATGACCATTTTAAAAAATATGTAACCACTCAGAAATGTATTATTATTATTTTAAAATTTGTTAACGTTACTGACAATATGATGTACACTATTTATAATATAGTTCATATATGTTTAAAAAACCGCAGTATTTTGTAGAAATCACTGTAATACTTATTGCCTACTAATTATTTAAAAATGTTCGGCCTCTAGGCTCTTACAATGGTAATTTTGAAATGGCAATATTTATGTTCTTCAAAGAATTACCTAGAAATAATATTCATTGGAATTTTAATATCTACGCATAAATCGAATAGATGATAATATTTAGATTGTGAAATTAAACCGACACAGAAAATTTTAATTTTAAAATCTCTGAATAGGTACGCTAAAATAATATAGTAATTAAAATGGTCATGCTATGCAAAAATGTTGTTTTCCTCATTAATTATTTAACTGGAGAATTTTCAACTTTCGTTTGTAAAAAAATATAATTATCAAAAAACGCTTTTTTCTACTGACCCTTGAAACTCACACAACCAGTAATTGGAGGCATTGTTTTGACGTCTGGGAGGTCGTCGGCCGTCAATTAGCGTTGGACACTCCATCACGAAACCCTGTCTCTAAGCGCAGCAAAATAATGATAATTAATAATAATGTTGAGTCTGCCTGCCTTCAAGCTATTCTAAAGAGAACCTTTCTTCGTTTTTTTTATAATAAAAGGCTTTACAGAAGTATGTTTTATTATGCAATTAAATTTATACCTCTTATGCAGTTGCTATCAATCTAGTATATTATAGTATATAAAAACACGTACGTAGCTAATTTATCTAAATCAAAATATTAAATTATGTTCAATCTTTAAAAGTTTAAACATAAAACTATCACAACTATAATATATCAACCTATTGTTAGTTTATTAACTGCAACTAATATTTCAGGTAGTTAAAATTTTAAAAATAATTTAGTATTCTCTCGAATATTGAAATCATACGTACTACTACGATTATTACTATAATTTACTAAAAGAAATTAATGTTATTAAAAAACGGTAGGTATACCTTTTTTAAATTTCACCAAAATGTCATAAAACATGCATATAAAGAAAATTAATACAATTCCAATTAGTTTATTCAGCATGGTGTTGCCGTTGACTACTAAATCATAATATAAATTAATCACATAAATAATAATATAACTGACTCTCTATAGTAGAAACGTATTGTTTTTAATCGATATATCTTTACCACAATCAAATAAAAATTGAATAATCCAACTTCGGGGTGTTTTCGGGACCTCGTATTCAAAATTACTGATCTCTGCGTGCTAGAGATTTAGCTACACATTACAAACACACTCAAACACTTCCTTTTATACAAAACAAATTAATTTGTTGTATTGTAAACAATAATAAAACTGTATTAAAAATATAATTAATGTCACCAATAAAATACGTAGGTATTTTATTTTTCAAATGTGATTTTTTTTTTAAGTTTATAATCATACAATTATAATATAATTTAGTTGATATTTTAAAAATAAATATGTTTAAATATTAATAATCGTAGTAATTGAGTACTTTAATGTATTAATAGTGAATCGGATGAATCGAGATTATATTATTATAAATACATACTTAGCGAACAACATGTCAACATCACATATTATAAAATCATAAACTTAATACGTAATTGAAAATATAAATTAGAAAATCAAACTATCATTTAAAGTATATAATATATACAATGTACATTGCAGTACACATACTCGTAGTATATAAAAATATCTACGCATTTATCTTTAGAATTATTTTGTGTATAAATCTTATACCTCGATGTTATAGCAGACATAAAATATTAGGGTTCTTTTTTTTTATATTATCCAACAAGGGGTAAAGAAGCCTGGGGTGATTTTCGATTTCAATGTAATCCGACAGCTAATAGGCTACCCAAATGTCAATATAGTTTTACTTGTCTCGGCCTATTAGTGTCTTGTTCGATGTAGCACATACGGTATACCTAAAGAGACCACAAAACCCTTAGAGGTTTGGTTATGTAATATATATCTTTTTTGTGATTTCATTTTTTAAATTATTATTATTATACATGATGTATGAGCATGTAACATAATATTATGGAACTATACAATTCGATACGCATGCTCAATACACTGAAATATTTGTTACATTCAATTTATTTAAATTCTTTTAAAGATAAACATGTAACATTTCAAAATGTATTAAACGTATTAGACAACGTTTTTAATACTAAATTATTCAATTATAGTTTATTATTATACCTACTTATATACTTTTGTAAATACAAATTTTAATTACGTTTTAGAATTTTAAAATCCCTATGTTATTTTTACATATTTTATGGAATTAAAAGAATTTAAATAATAATACACAAACCGGCATTTTAATCTCAAATGTACAACGAATTACGATTTTGTGATTTTAATTTGACTCGCATAATAATTAAGGAATGCACAATTAAAACCAGAATCATAAATATTTCTGCTATAGGTATATGTGATTTTTAAATAGAATATTAACTTGAAAAAAAAAAACATAATAGAAACAAAGTTACAATATTTTCACTACTTATCTAAATTTACGTTTATTTTTTTATTTTTTTTCTCATTTTACAAAGAGAAATCTAAAAAAAATTATTACCCTTTGAGTTTGAATAGAATTTTTTATGAGACTAGAAACTGAAAAGCTATTGTTTGTTTAAATTAAAACACATATACAAATTATGTTTTATTTCACGGTTAATTTTTCAAAAACCTCGCGGCGTTCGTGTAGTACCTACTTAACCACGTGGTATAACATGGGCAAAGTAAGAGCTGTTCTTCCAAACAAGGCACCAAGCACAGACAAATAAAACTATATACATTCATTTCCTCACGTGTCGAGCATGGATATATGCCATTTCCTGAAGGCATACTTGCACACACGGTATATTACACGCGAAATACTTAAAAAAAATCCAAGGGTTCTTTGAGGTCTCTTGTGGCCTCGGCGTGGACTCTATGTCACTTAACGAATTGATACCACGACCCCGTTAGTGTTATTGATGTTTATTTGACAGCCGTGCATTTTGATTCCCAAATGGGTTATACGTACAGGTTATATTATTGGAGGGCCGCTCATGGTATTCGCAACAATATAACCGATAGAGTTTTAAAGAGTGAAATAAGCTTCAAGCGAACGAGGCAACAAATAACCAAGTGATGGCTCCTTGACGTTGTGCGTGTGTGTTTTATGGACGTTTATTATTAAACGATGTTTTTCAGATCGACTGACAGAACACAAAATATTTATATACATATATGATATCAAAATATTATAGAAGAAAAATTGTTTTAACCAAAAATATATATATTATTGTAAATTCATACAAGCTGAATATTATATTTATTATAGCTGTCTTTGAGTTTTTGTATTCACGTTGCAATGAAATCATATTGGAATAAAATATTAATTATTATTAATGCGTAGACCATTTGTTTGATGTTATATTATATTTACTATTATTGGAATATAGTTATTATATCATTAGTCTAAAGTGATATCTATACGTTTATTTGCATTCGTAACTAAAATGACTGCAGGTATCTAATAATTTTTATTTTTGCTTTTAGGTTTGGTTCCAAAACCGTAGGGCAAAATGGAGAAAAGCCGAACGGCTGAAAGAAGAACAGAGAAAACGAGAAGAACACGACAGGACTGGATCACTACAAGAACAGTTAGATCATATGGCCAAAGATATGCAACACTCGCCGACGACAAAAGTACGTTCAATTATTTAAACGTGCAATTCCAAATTACAATTCTTTCAACTTATTTCGACCGAATATTTATCTTTGAATTCAGACATATTAATGATTTACAAGGTATAAAATTAATCATTAAAAACCTTATGTATTAGGCTCTGAAAAGTCTTCTGGAATTAAAAACAAAGTTTAAAGCATTCCGTAGTAGTCATAAAACAAAAACAAAATAAAAGACATTGTGTTTAGGGTATTCGGGAAACCTTTAGTAAGATATATAGTAATATATATATAGTTTTTGAGAAATATGGGCAATACTATATTATATGAGTAACAGTAGATGCAATAACAATAAGAGGTTTCAGCCACAAATCTTGCAGAGCCATGTTTTCGCCGCGAGTGTAGATTTATTTATTTATAGAAAACCCTTTCAGTAAACAAACATAGAGGGAGATGAGGTTTTTGATTTATCCGTTAAGTTTAATTTACCTCAGGTGCTTTACGGAGAGCATATCCAAATTTATGATGTTATGATGTCGTCTTAACCCTTTTTAATGTATAACCGAACACTATACAGCGTTACGCGTTTGCCGTTTTCCTTCATGTATTTATCACCCGAGTCACTTGTCACGGCACCCGCTGATTTATTGTCGCCAGTTAATAATCTCTTAACGCTTTTTCGTTAATGTCAACCAAATAGTTTCCAGTTGTCGCTTACATCGCACAATAAAAAACAACTGAACATAAAAAAAAATAATAATAATAATAATAATAATAATGAAAAAACATAAGAAAATTGAAAAAAAAAAAATAAAAAGAGGGCGAACTACAGAAAAAACTACTTTACAGTTAACCAAGATGGTTGACGGCGCCATATTTATTTCATTTCTTCTTTTTACGACGCTCGTTTTCACAACGGACGTAATGTATTATTTATTAACCGGACCCGCGGGTCATAAATCATGAAACCGAATAAAAACGACAGTATTATACCACGATTTCCTCCGGATGATAATTTTTCAAACCGTAAATAACTTTGTCGTTATGTTAAAAAAAAAAAAGAAAAAAAAACCAAAAAATAATAATAATAATAAATCTATTGTACACAATACCATGATAATTCTTTTTGGCGAACGGCTTATGAAAATTCATTCAATAATAATATTTGCATTGTAATAATAATAATAATATATATTCGTTTCTTTGTATACGTTAATGTTTATAGGCCAGTGTCTTAGAAGGTGAACAGAGAGATGACGGACACAGTGGCAGCGAGCCCGACGAAGACGCTCGTACCAGTACCGTTCATATATCGGACCGGAGCGAATCGCCTGCCAGCTGCGGTGTGAACGGTGGCGCAGACGATAGGCCAACATCGCCATCACCGCCGGGGTTAGTGTTTTCATCTGTTAATATAAAAAAAAACGAAACCGCACAGAGTATAATATTATAATTGTTATACTGACCGGCTACACAAACGTCATGTCCGGTTAAACGGAGTAAATTAAAACGAATTATTTCACCGACTTTATATTATATAGGCGATGACTGTCACGTCGTTATTTCCAAAACGATTATTGTTTCGAAATACCGTTCGATTTTTTAACGCGCCGCGGTCTCTGTTGTATAATTCTTGTTTTAAACATCGTTAAAAATGAGGTTCATTAATATTGTTTCACAAAGACCGTATGGAATATCCACGCGTTTTAACAAGTACCTATGTACGTATAGTACGTATATACGTATAGTTTTATACGGGGGCTTTTAATTTGATATTCTTTATTAACGTACAAATGCATTTTTAATGCGTCCCGCATTTTAAATTAATTAAACTGTTTTCATCGCAGGATCTAGTCGATTTAAATTATGGTAGATTAAAGGACTACAGACTATTTTTTATAATACCAGACTATTTATAGACAATGAAAATACTATACGTGACTAATTAAATTTCAAAATGATAAATATTTTTAAAATTATTATTGTTTCACGTACATTTTGGTTTATGTTAAGTAGCGGAAACTACTTTATGCACTTTATTCCGCGCCTGTCCGTGTCCGCTTCATCTCTCATATGGTTACGAATTTGTGAATGCCATTTTTCACAAAACGATTATTTAGATTCTCAAGATGATCGTCCACCTCACCCCCACATTGACTTTTAGTCCAATCGGTGAAAATTAGAGATTTTTACTCGTCGGAAGCTTACGCTACTATACGATACTCCGGTGTGCATAGGTTTATTTTATCAATATTGTTTTTATTTTAATACATGTGTAATGCTATTCATTACCTACCGAATAATCTTACAGAATCAATAAATATTTAGCGATTAATTAATAATTATTATAAACCTGTTTATTGTATACACTATAATATGGTGTAAATGATTTGACAAATAAAAATTATCCCCTTTTTGGCCCGTGTACAATGTACACATAAAATAATGTGCCATTAAACCGAATGACTAGTGTCCTTGGCTAATTTCATTCGGTTCGAAATGGTGTGTAGAGCTTGTTATTATGCCACGCGTTCAATTGTTGTTAATAAATCGTAATGCAGTTTAAGTGAAGATAAATTCAAATTATACTTGGTAATTGAGCCAATTAAACAATCAATTCGGATGGCCGACGACATAAATATACATATAGACACGCGTTTTTTTTTCTTCCTTAAGTGACAACGAAGATAATAATATAACAGTAATGATTGTTTTTTTATTTAGTAATACCAATTAAAGAACGTCATGGATATTTTATTTTTATACGCGTTTGATAATGCAGTCTAAAATTGTAATATATATATTTTTTTTTTTACAATTTCGTATCTACCTAATTGTTTTTTATTTGATTTTGTAAATGTTTTCGGTTTACAGGAATGGAAACGCTGTACCGGATTCACCGACACCCAGTATTAGTCCTTCGCAAATTCGACCGCCCATCAGTGTTGCGACGTCGACGTTCAATCATTCGATATTTACACCGTTCTCGTCAGAAGGGTGAGTGTTATTGTTCGTTTACCGCAATTCGTCAAACGATTTTTAAAGATTAACTATAATCCTCCCGAAAAAATCACGCCCATTCGCGTAGTACCTGCGGACCGCTAATAATGAAAAACGAGCTGTATTTATTTATATTACACCCGTATATACGTATAACATATAAAACCGCCAAACAGATGGCATGCGGTGTGTAATAATATGTGTTCGTGGTGGCTTATGGCTACCCTTTTTTTTACTTTAAAAATTGTTGTGTTAGCAGATTGTCGAAAATTAAACAAAAGACTCGATGCTGCAGGGGTGTTCACCGCTGAAGGGTCGTGTATACCCGACGGTGCGATTGTCACGGCCAACTTTTTTTTCTTCTTTTTTTTTTGCCCTATCGCTAATTTATTATGTAAAATCGCATTACATTCATCGAGTTGGTTTTTAAGGACATATTGATTACGCTGATAAATTAACACAGTAAAAAAAAAAAAAAAAATGAACTGTTTAAAAATATCGCTGTATCAAACTTAATATAATTCGATTCGAATACTGTCTACGCTGCACAGTTAATTTTAAAATATACCCATGCAAATTTAACATTTTATTATTTTATAATTTGCCTTGCATATATCGATGCTTCAAACAACACATTAATATATACAAATATAAATACGTTACATAGGGATAATTTAATACTTTCTATAAGGGATAATGAGTGGATAATAATTTAAATAAAGTTCTGAAACTTCCTTTCAACTTCATCATATACACAGTATATGCTGATAGAATTAAGCTAATTGTAAGTAACGCAGTATGCATGCATTTCTTAATTTCCCAAGAGGGAACATTCACTGTAGATCAAGATATAAATTATGATTACTATGTTTTTACACAAAACCTTGACGATTTTATTTGTATAGCTAGATAGCAATAACTAAGTGATACAATCAATTTATGCAGGTGATGTATAAAACATTAATAACTTTTTTCTATATTAGTTCATCAATATAAAAAAGTTCGTTCAGACTTTCATTCATTCTTCTCTTTTTTTAAAGTTCTTATAGAATTGTATCTATTTTTTTACTAACTAAATTATCTAAAAAACGGCGTTTTATTTATAAGTACAACAAATTTGCATAATATATTTCGTCTGTCCGAATTCTTCATGATATATGAAGAATTCGGATTTGTTTATTTCTTATTTAACCCTACTAATCTCCCACTTGTTTTTATTATATATCCTGTCCAATTTCTTGTTTTACGTTGGTATTATAGAAATTTATTTCTGTATAATTGAGCACAGTCTTTAATTTTTTTCTATAACTAAAGGTTAATATGAATTCATATATTAGTACGAATTAAAATCTTAACATTTTTAATGCACCTTTTTGCAATTTTGTTGATTTTCTTCTTTTATAATGCAATGTTTAACACTTTTAAATGTTATTCACATGATTTAATTATTTATCCACGTTAAAATAAAATAACAATAGGGACTGTGTCAGATATTATGTTAGAATAATAATGTAATAAAAATAATATTATGTAGTGTATGCGTATTTATTGTTATTTCGGGCTTTGTCGATTGTAATGGCAGTGGTGAAAATACCATTCAATAAGACGACGCACGAGTTATTATTTTCTCGAAATGTTAATAAGAAAACAAGCCAATTAAACTTGTACTATTATTATGATTTTTTTTTTTTAATTATTGCAATTCTGGATATTTTTTCCAGCAGTAATGCAATCAATTTTAATTTTTTTTAATGCAATAACTTCCGAGCCCTGGTTATAATAGTTATATTATACCTAATAATAACATAGTCGTTTGCATAATTTACGTACCTATACCGCCTATATAATAATCATTGTATTAGTGATCCGTCTTCGTCACCACTATATATAATGCAATCTAATATTATTATCGATCCGTTTATAAATTGGATTCGACGTGGCGGTGGTGGCTTTATGTGAACGACAAAATTATATAATTATTCGTCTAAGATCGAGAAATTAAAAAGTTAAACAATTTTCATTTGTTTTGCCGCGCGTTCTCATGTCAATCGCAGTGATTATATTATTATACAGCTATTATAATATTATTATAATACGCTTATGCCGAAACGACCACCCTCATCGTGTGTCACGCGTGTTGTCGTACAGCGATGCGTGTATTATAATATTATTGTTTCTCGCGCCCCTACACTACACTACACTACACTGCACTATACACTATAAATACGCTATTATACACGGGCCACCGACGGGAACAAAACGATATAACTGCTTAATCCCGGCCATGAGAGAGACGATCGGTGTTATTAACGTGGAAAAGTTTTTCTATCGGTGACAGGCGCGCACGTGCGCGCCGCACTACACTGGTACACGGTGCACACTGCACACGTGCCGCACGGCCACCTACACCGACAACGCGACGGTCTCAGGTTACACCGATAATAATGATAATTAGGTTTAGGCCGCGCCTCGCGGACCGATATTATAATAGTAGACGGGATAGAATTGTTTGGGGTGTACGGCCCCCACACGCGGGCACGTAATAGCTAATATTTAGTTTCGGCGACAATCGTTTTATACATACGTATGTATAGTAATAATAATAATAATAATAATTGAATACGATCAACGGACGACGTATGCGCGATAATTCGATTTGGTTCGTGTTTTACGCGTGTATACGATGGCGCGATTTCGATATTGAAAAAACGGGGGCGCACGGAGTATCCCGAAATTATGTTTTTTAAAGAAGAGTGTCCCGTGAATTCGATAATTTTATAATAATTATTATTGTTGTTATTTGAGTTTATTCGGTCTGCGTACAGCCTGATGTGCGACCATAATATATTATTCCGTCAATTATTCTGGTCCGCCGACAAAACCGTTCTATTCGGTCCGAATCCTATGATTTTATTTAAAACGTAATTTTTAGATTAAGAGCGCAACGGGAAATTTAACAGCGGGTACCGTTTAATGGGTTCCTCATTAGATTTTCAGATTAGCTATCCGATTGCCTCTCGAGCATCCGACGGACAACCAACAAACATAGCTGGGGCGCTACGCTATGAAAATGGCGATGAATTTATAAAGTTATAAAGTATCAATAATGAATCAATAGTTATTAATATTCTACTTAACACAAAACGCACAAACAAACGCACACTTTGGCATAGTCATGGATGTTGTTATTCGACAAGCCTTATGTTTTATCAACAACGCTATAGACACTTCTTAATTTTGTTTTTTCCGTTGTTATTGTGAATATAATGTTTTTAATAATTACAACCCTATTATAAAGCATCCATTTCAGTTCGAAACAATAAATCATTTAGTTTTTAGATATTCAAATTGTATTCGGAGTGATATCAGTTGTCTGATATAATGCTGATGATGTCAAATTTAACAAAAATACTAAAAACAGTGCTCCTTGATTATCAATCCGGTAACACCATCAGATTGAAAACCAGACGAGTAAAATTATTTAACACTACGGTATGATGTATTTGTTTTTCTGTCGGATCTTTCAAATTGTTCCAAATTCCATGTGTTTTTATGTAGATATAATTGTTTTGGCTTAGCCATTGTTTAAAAATTTAACAGGGGTTTCATAATAAATTAAACTTGGTGTCAAAAAAAAAAGAGCCGGTACTGAGAATGGGTGTGCCATTATAGTAGTTAAGAAAACAAAAAGGTAGAATATATATAGTTATTTAATTTATATCTGTACGCAACGATAAATCATTACTAACGAAAAGCGTAGTTTTTTCATTTTTATTTTCGGCGAAGTTCGACAAGATATATCATTAAAATACCATCATTTTTACGAATTTCATCAAAATTTTATCTAAAAACAATTTTAAAAAAGACTGATATACTTCGCACGATGGGTGGGGGTCACTATTGTAGGTTATAAGTTGGGAAAGTAGAAAATAGAAGGTAAATCAATATACATCTATACGCAATAAGTAATCATTGTTAACATAAAACGATTTTGAACGGAATACGGTTATACATGTTTTGAAAGGACATCACGATATTCGTCAAAATTTAATTTTAACTCTTGTAAAAAATAAAAATACTACATTATACACTCATTTTTTTTTTGATCACAAAGTACTACTTATAATGAACAGTCTGATAATTTGTCAAGCATTTCTTTTTGGTCTAATAATTTTGTGCACAGAGTATCTACTGAATAAAAATGACTTAAAAATAATAAAATTAAAATGTCTATAAATTGCTCAAAAATCGCTAAAATATTTTAGAACTTATACCACGCTTAGAAAATATATTTTTTCTAACCAAATTTCAAGTCTCTACGAATATTTTTAACTGAATCGCAACAAAAAATATAATTGAAAATAATATATTTCGTTAATTTTCCAGTTGTTCTCACGTTTTTTCTCAGTTTTCCCATTTACTATGAAAACCCTAGAAAAAATGTCTAATAGAAAAATTATTGGCAGATAAAGAAAAAAAAACATCCTTGTAAAACCAATATACATTCCTCGCTCGGTTCAGATTCTAAAAAACTAGAAAATATTAAATGCCTATAAATAACTCAAAAATCACTAGAATTTTCAAAATTTGTTTCGTATTTAGAAAAGGCTAATATAAATGTTGTTTGCAAATTTCAAGTCTCTATGATTATGTATAAAATACGGATTTGAAAAAATGTTTCTTAAAAGCAAAAAAGGCAAAATAAAATGTCATGAATTTTATTCTAAGTAGTGTGAAACGAATTTGTAGCTGACATAGCTTTGTTTTTGAGCAATAGAAAAAAAAAAAAGCTAATGCCTTCAAAATCCGTACTCTAAATATGTACAACCAACTTATACGACAAAAAAAAAAAAAAATCAAAAATCGACCCTTTAATAATATCAGCTCTTTTTTGATATTTATATTGTATACAATATATTCGTGTTTTTTGTTTTTTCCTTATTGGGTTCTGTTCCAGCACTAACCCGTATGTATAATTTTTGGTTGTTTGTATAATTTTTGATTTTATTGGTTTATAATTTTTTTGGGTTTTGGATTCTTATCGTGATGCATACGTCCGGCAAGTCGCACATCAATGTTCATTTGTCGATCATCTTTGAAACGTTCGTCTCTCCAAACATTAATATTAGCACTCACTATTTTTTCTGCGTCTCCGGCTACATTAATATCCTTTGCAGGTTCAAAGGTATTCTGCGATATTTTATAATATTATTATATTATTATATAGCACACCACGTGTTTCACGGTTATAACGAATTGTCGTTTTATAGGTAATAATCAAATATTATTATTAATTATACTATGTTTGTATAAAATACCATGATGCATATGGTTAAAACGAATTCTTCTAAAATATATAATATTTTACCATTGATCTACGTGTAAATAATACATATTATTATATAATCAATTATTATACTGACATTAAAATGGAATATTTCGATTTTATGATTGAAAAATAATTTTACCTACCAATACATATACATTAATTCTCTTTGAAAATGTATATTTCAACGCTATTAAAAAAAAAAAAAAAAAAACGAATTTCAAAGTAATAAATAATAATGCCTGTATTACACAAATACAAATTATCAATGCAATTCTATTTCCGATATTACATTTCCTGCGTACTTGCATATCAAAACGTAGATGGTATTTAAATTGAAAAATGATCCATGAATATGTCTGTACATAATTATATAACGTCAAAATACATAATACTTATCACGATCAATTTATTTTACGAATATTGATTCGCAAATATAATATAATGTTGTGCAAATAGATACCTAGTCCAAAGTTAAACGAATAATATTTATTATTATTATTATTAATATAAACATTAAATCCAGTAAATAGTTTACCAGATCATTTACAATTATAAATGTTGGTTCAATAATTGTGTTTGATTTAATTCTATATGTTAAAAAAAAATAGTTTGTACACATTTAAACAATCATTGTCTATTGCATATTAGACCATTAGTTTTTATCAAGTCATGTTTATCAAAGTTTAAAATGAAATGTTTACACAATTATAGCTCTCAAAAAGTTTGAACAAATCTAAACTTTCATTTTGTGTAAAATACCAAATGATTAGTGTAAAGCAAAAATGTATATAATGGGAATTTTGGAATTTGCCAATATCGATGGGTAAGTAGTTGAGCAGTATCGATTATTATGCAAAGGTTTACATTTTACGATAGAGATGGTAATATAATTTGGAGCAAAGGTATCTAAAAACAAATTTTGAAGAAGGTGGTCCAAAATTTTTTGTCAACCAAAATTTTTGACGGCCTTTTTTACACAAAATAAATAAAATAAACTTCTTATGTAAAATTAAAACTCCAATACCTATATCGAATTTCGCTTAAAAATAGTACATATAATACATGTTATTAATTATTTTATAATTTCGTATATAATGTATAATGGTTATTGCATATATATTTTAAATTGCAAATTATATAGTAAGTTATAACAAACTACACACCCCATCCCTTTAAAATATTATATTTCATTTATAATAATACAAATACATAAATTCTCAAAAAACCGTACAATGTAATACCCAAACTTTAATATGGAATCTGTTGTCGAATCACGAATGTAAATTTCACGATGAAAACAATTTCGGTAATTTACTCAGATCTAATTCGCCTCACGTTTTCTCTTTGTTTCGGTTAATTTACATTTTACCGAAGTTAAATTACGAACTTTAAAATGTGGAATATCATTTGAGTTCCAAACGTATACCTACCAGTCTATGGAATTACGTCGAAACTTTGCTTTCAACGTTTCGTCGTTAATTTATTTATTAAATACACCCGAAATTAAGCGAAAACAATGCGAAACATTTATTTTATATAGATACTTGTTCGCAATAGAGATGTTTTCAAGTTTATGGAAATATAATTATATACAATTATAAAATTGTAATAATATAAACTTTCAATATAAAACATCACTAGGCCTTTATTCGTCGCCTTGTTATGCGGGCACTTAAACAATTCTAAAATAATGTATTTCACAATAAGAATTAAAATTATAATAGGTATATTACACTATATTGAATATAGCTTTCCGTTGCGGTGCAAACTATAAAATGTTATGAATTAATAAATCTACGTATTTTATACGATAATCATTGAATAATCATTATATATCATCAAATAATTATTGAAGGAGCCAATAAATAAATGTGTTAAACGCAGTGGCGTACCTAGGCCTCTCTTACAGGGGGTGGGGGGGAATATATTTTCACCCATTCTTAAAATATAAAATTTCTTAAAAATATATGTCACAGCCAACCTAATCTAACCTAACGGGAATTTTATATATGTAAAATATTAAATAGAACATTTTAGTAGGTATTAAAAAAAAATTGCTATTTAATATAATATGCATGTTATAAAACAATTTTATAATAAATTGTATAGCAACACAAAGTCTAACCTCCGGAAAATAACGTTCAATAATTTCATCCACTGGTATACTTATTTTTTGGTATATGTGCAAACAGTGCAAGCCTACATAAGCGATCTTGGCCCATTTTTGAGCGTAGCCATGTTTTTAGTCTACAGCAGAAGCATGAATACAGGCAAATAATAAATATAATTAATGAAAAAGCAGTAGGTAGGTACTGTCTAGATTTAAAAGCTAATGCCAATTATATAGATATATAATAATTATTATATTAGATTATATATTATTATATGTTTTTATTATATATGGTCAAATAACGTAGAGCCACTATAACAAAATTATAAAATGATGTATTTTGACACGGTTTGATCATAAATAACAAAATTATTTTAAAATCTTGGTTTGATCATATTATTAACGACTTCATGAAAAATAAGTTCAAAATAATTGAAAAAACACTAGGAAAAAAAAAAACATAACAATGCACACATTTAGTCACATATCATTATTCGACCCACGGAGGGAGCGAATGTCCCCTTCGCTACTCCCCCTCAAAAGTATGCCACTGGTTAAACGACAATTTTTTCGAAAGTTATATTAATACGAATGAATTTACTTGTTTTGGCGTATTAAACCAAATCTAAATCTAAGAAAAAAAAAATTTACTTATAGAGACAATCAATTCATAAAAGTGTTATCCTATCCTACTAATATTATAAATGTAAAAGTTTGTGTATGTGTGTGTATGTATGCTTGTTACTACTCAGCCCCGTAACAGCATGAGTAGATTTTCAACGGATTTGGTATACTGCAGTTACTTTAGTGCATTGAATAGCAAATAGAGTACTTTTTATCCCGGAAAAATTTAAAGTTCCTATGGGATAGTAACTTAACCCAACTAACACAAAAAAAAAGTGCATTATACAATTTGTATTCATTTAGTGGTCAGATTTTCCATTTTCCCAAAGAAAGTGGATAAATAGCATACACATTGTATTCCTATAATGCCGAGAAAAAAATTTAAGAAATGTTATAATGGTTTCATTTTTAAGCAGTAACATTTTATTTTTTTCAAAACAACAACACCGCGATATCACATGCCTCACCACTGCACTACACTATATGTACGCCTCTTGGGGTCTAATCTCCCCTTACCATTTAAAATATAGCGTGAAACATGTTTCCGGGTTAAACAAAAGCTCAAACAAAAAAAAGTTTCAATCTCATTTTATAATTTTTCGTTTTAAATGACCCTCTTGAACAATTTTAAAAATGTTAATTAAAACCTTTATCAATTGACCCCTTCAATTAGTATTAAACGAGTTTCTCACTCAAATCATTATTTTCACTGATGAACCGTCAGACAAAAAATTACACTTTTATCTACAAAAACTGATCGGAGTAAAACCAAATGTCAAAAAATACGTTTAGAATAATTTTGTTTGGCGCCAATGTCCGATTACAAACGAAAGAAATAACGGTACACGCTCGCAATTTGTAAATTTTTATGAAAAATGATAATATGAAAATGTCAAGAACAAATTTTACCTATACACCTTATAATATAATACATTTCTGCTTACCAGTTAGGCTGAGGATGTACAATATTATTATTTTCGTAACAAACGTTGATTTAAAACATATCTCGTAAACCATACAAAACATAAATCAGTAGGGACAATTTTCCTCCGAAACACGAGATAGGTACAAAAAAAAAAGGCACTTAATAATTTTCAATGTTTCTATGAAACGTCTGTTTCCCTTCAAGTATTAAAATCGATTGAAATCTGTTGAAACAATAAACCGAAATAGGTGTATACGAGAGACGATAGGAAACCCGAAACATTTTATCTATTAAACTATAATTACGCCAGATTGTGCAGATTTTCCCAACAAAATTAAATAACATTTTGTTTAATATTAAAAACAAACTTAAAAAACACCCGGTTATTAGGATTCCGATTTAATTACGCGATGTCGGGATACATCACGATTTTACGAGAGCCCCTAGACCTTTTTTTATATATATATATATATATATGTATAATGTATATAGTTTTCCGTATAATTTAGTTCAAATTAAAATCCTATTTAATACGCGTCTCGCGGTCTTCATGTTTTGTTTCATTTTGTTAATTATGTTACTTCGTGTTTGAAAATAATAATGGTACTTAATTAAAAAATTATCGTCTGATAACATTTTTTTCGATTGATATTTATTTGTGCTATTGTTGTTTGCAACGCGTATTTTAAACAAGTTTCAAATTGATATAATAATAATATACTGAATATAACAAAAGACCATTGAGATTATAGAATATAGATGATTCGTTTTGAACTAACAAAAAATGTCTTGTCAAAAACGAACCCATTCAGTATTCATGTAAAACTTGAATAAAAAAAAAAAAAAAAAAAAACCGCTAAAATACTAAAACACTGAACAAATTAAATTAACTGCTAAGCAACTTAATCGAATCAATAAATTCCGAATTTTCGGTCGGTATACCTACGAGAAAACTTCTATTTTTCCATATTATATTATGATATTATACTACACATACATAATATGCCATATAAATAGAACTATAATGACAATAACAATGTTCATAGAGCTTATAATCAAAATATTTTTGAAAATTGACCATATTAACAATATGACCGGGTATAGATTGCGGGTTGCGCATATTATATTATCAGTAGGTAGGTAACTATAATATAATATAATATGCAAAATGTTCACTAACATTTTTAAATCGAATAGTATAGCTATAGTATATACCTATATAGGTGGAAATACTTATATAAAATATTACATTTTTTATTTAATCGTTGTACGTTTTATTTATTAATTGACGAATCGGGTTCATCGTACGTTGCACGGGAAACACGTACCTATTCGATACATTATATTTTATTGGTAACAATAATGTACCTGTAAATAGTGCACAATTATTGCATTTTTATGCGATTCGAAATATTCGATAACAATTCAAATGCATATTGTTTATGGGACCGACCGTTAAAAAAAGTATATATATATATATATATATATATATAATATAATAACTATATAATATTACAACTAGCTGACCTAGCTGGCAATGCTTTTCTATTGCTAGATAATAGTGTAAATAGTAATAGTAGTAGTTTTCTACTTCATCTTTATTACCAAGGTAACCTACGAATAAACAAAAAATAAATACATAAATTTACATAAAAAATTAAATATTCGTATTAAAAATACCTAAAAACCCCTATATACTTCACGGGATTGAGAATGAAACGTTTAAGACTGTCCGTCATGTCCTTTAAGTTGGATCAAATCACACACATTGAACATCTTATCGAAATCGGTTGAGTAGTTTCAAAGTGCATCGTACCTAAATTCGTCGTACGCGTGATTTATATATATTTAAGATGTACATTTTCACCTATACTTTTACTATTCGGTGTAAACGTTTCAGTGGACATTTTTCATAAAATACCTATAATACTGACAGATATAATACGATATGCGGAACTCTGCACATTTTTATAATATCATAATATATACCGATCATCGTGTTGTGAACACGGTCAGTTTTCAAAAATGTTTTGACAATAACAATAAACTCTATAAACATTGTTGTGATTTAATGTATATATTGTAGTATACGCGGTATATTTTCCAAACTCCGACATTAATACGGAGAGAAAAAAAAATGAAATATTCTCTATGAATAAAACGAAAAATGTGACTGTTAACGAGTTTATAAAGAAAGACGGAAATATAACGATGAGATAATAATGTTAAAATGTTCACATCGAAGAAAAGTTTGCATAAAATAAAAAAAAAAAATAAAAAAAAATGAAAAGAGAAAGAAAACGGTATATAGGATCAAGAAGAAAAAGTTTTTATTCGAAAAATTCCATCAAGTTCTTTTGACTTATTATTGCTGTATAATATATTGAGTAGGGAGTAGTATAAGTGGGTGGCCGGAGGTATATATGGTAAGTGTGACGGAGAGGGTGGCAGAGGGAGAGAATTCGCCGGAAATTTTTTATTCAGTAGGTACCTGCGTCGTTCGATATTGGAGCAAATTGAATTTTATTACCCGACAGTCGGGGCGGCAGCGGCGGCGGCGGCGGCGGCGGTGGGAGCGGCGGGAACGAGCGGGAAAAGCAGTTTTTCCTTTTATTTCATAACTCCCAAGTTATGTATCCGCGAGTGCGGCGATGGCGGTGGCGGTGGCGCCGCGGTATGGTGAGCGGACGGCGGCGGCGGCGGTGGCGTTCCTTTTGATGGCTTAAAAATATGATAATTCGTTCGCCGCGCTCAAAGAAACGATGTCAAAGGCCCTTCGTCCCGCCCGGCCGCCGCCGGCCCCTGGCGGGCGCCTTTATTAAATAACGTTATACAGTATCGGCTTGCTGCTATACGCGGTACCATCCCGTCCGTCCGCCCCCGCCCCTTTTTCCACAGACTCTACGCCTCCTACTATTACCCCTCCGCGGCCCGTCACGCGGTAGTCCTGTTCGCCACCATCCGTCGCGTGTAGCCGCCGCACAGCATCCCTCGTGCTGCAATCTAATTCTATCTAATTAACATTGGATATCTCCTCTCGTTAACGCGCCCGCTCGCTGATGATGCCAATTTGCGAATTATCCAAATTATGTTTGCCCGCGGTCCTTTCGTTTAACGCCCGCGTTAAAAAAAATACGATTAAACACAATAATGAAAAAAACAAAAAAACGTTCCGACACTACCGAATTATTAACGCCTTAAAATATTTATTCGATTTTTTTTAACGCCGTCGTCGATCTGTAACTGATTGGTGTTTTCATACCTATATATACCGCGTTGTCGCAGCAAACGCAATCGAAATAAACAATAGGATAACGACGCGAACGCGAAGAGAATTGTGATTAGGTTACCTATACCTATACACCAGTACCCACTCGATTCGAGTTGGACAAAATAAATAAAAAAAAAAACAAACTAATACTTTTTATCCGTCCGCGAGCACTGCACGTATAAAATCGAAATTAATCGCATTCCTTATAAGTCTGAATTACAGTATAATAATAATAATAATAATATAATATACGTGTCATTAATATTTCAATGACTGACAGACGTTTGTTCGGATACGCTAATTATTGTATAAACGTATTTTGATCCTTCAAATCCGATTTTTTTTTTTTTTTTTTATAATATCCGTCAACAGTACGACAATAATAAACGTAAGTATATATAATTTCAGAATAATTGACGTACGTACTTTATCCCACGTCTCCTTGACGTATTTCAAATGTCCGCACTGTAGCGGCCTTTCGATGGCCACCACAGTTTTTGTAATTTTTTCGTTTGCTTTAATTTTTAAACAAAAATAAGATTGAAACGAATTGATTATTAAATAAAGTTTTATATTCTATTAGATTCTATAAGTACAGAAAAACAATAATGATATTACTATATGTATATCATTTAATATAATGTTCAGTGTGCTAATATAAAATTATAAAAATAGTCAGTACTAAGATTCACAGTCTTCTTATATAATTATAACAAAATACTTTTAACAGTATTATTCCATTTTAATATTAAAAAGACGCAATAAGTAATACGAGTACTTGTATACTGTTGTAATAATGTTGTAATTATTTGAAAGTGTAATTTAATTAATATTAAAAGTAATCAATGTATAAACAAGTTTTCGACTGGGGTTACGGTTGCAAACGACAATATACAAGAGAGAGGTAATAAAAATGACACTAGCCCATCCATTCCCGTGGTTTTTTACACATAACTCTGCCTCGGTTATGTGCAAATTTATGTTAAATTTTGACATCGACAAAATTGAAATCCGTTAAACGGGAGGTGACGGGGTGTAACATACGTCTCGAATTTGAAAAATTACAATACCTTTATAAAAATAGATCTCTGTAAACAAAAAAAGTAGTGGTCTGAAAAGAAATTTAAATTTACTTCATCATGGGGAAGGTTACACAAATCGGTATACAATTTCTAAAAAATATGGCCCTTATTCGGGGTTAGCCCATGCAGAGGGAAGGCACTGGACCCCAGTAATGACAGGTCTTGTTCACGTGATCGTTGTTTATAAATTCTCACAACCAATCTGCTGCACGGATTATAGATTGTTTAAAACGACGCATTGTCCATTTATGCATTTTTTTTTTTTTAATTTTGCAAAACTATATAGAATTTACGCACAATTGATTCGCATATTTCTCACCCCATCCGACCGGTATACCTTATATATACAATTATTATATATTATCGTAGAATCGAGAAATAAAAGTCCCCCGTGGAGAAAAAAATCTGTGACACCCTTACCAAACAAAAAGATACTTTGGTATTGTCGATAAAAAACCACGGCGAGTTTAGATAAAGCAAGGGGGTAAACGGAAAAACCTATAACCTGCATGTTGGTCCCGATACTGTCGCATATTATGGCAAGTAATTATATAATCGTGTCTTAAGTATATATAAATGTAAAACTTACGTACGGATTTGACAATTATAGACAATGATATATTATATTGTGTATTAATGTATCGTAACTTACAAGACTGATATTGTTTAAAACGGAATAATAATACGACTAACATTTGTAATTTTCCAAATTTTCTATTATACACTATCTAGTGTGGTAGTTTACACATGTAGGAGATAACCTAATTTTGAAATACAGCTTATGAAGACTCACGGACATAAAGTTCATTCGCATATAAAACTCAAAATCGTCCGAAACGTTCCGGACTTATCAAAATCCGTTGAAAAGAGGTTTTTCATAAGACTCACAATTGGCTCAAAGACTTTCAGTTTCGCGAAAAATGTTGACACCACACATCACCGCCCGTCTTATTTTGCTATCAACACGAGTACCCACGTTCTTAAAATTATAAAATACCAAAATAAAATAAATATGCGATTGATTTAAGGTGTTTTTTTTTCGTTTCTTTCGCCACTTTTGCAGTACTTATGTAGCGTTTGTTCGGTTATAACATTATCAGTTTGTGCGCCGGTTATAATCGGCGTCTACTGTTATCGTTTACCAAGTTTCCCCCCCCCTCTACATCAACGGTCGGACGGGTGGAGAAAACATCAACGGGGAGGAGGGTGGTGGGGAACTGTTTCTCTCCCGGTTCCGTCGTCGGGGGATTTTCATTCCGATTATTTACCGTTATCCGTATAATATAATACGCCGACAAATCTTGTATCGCACAGAAAGACGCAGTTTAACGTCAATTACGGCCGCGTCACGGTGCATTAGTATATATGCGTGTACGCCGACGTCGTGCGCACGGCACATTGTCCCGAGGATCCGTTCGCACAATACGCTCTCCGTCGTCGTCGTCCCGGGCCATTTGCCAGTTCCTTCCGAGTGCAATAAACACCCGTACCAATGACGACGTCTCTATTAACCGTCGCGCACCCCCTCGCGCGCGATTGCCGCGGACTTTAAAAACTTCCGGTTCCGGTCGGACATCGTATGGCGCACACGCGGTGTATACGACTACTATACGGTATACGATACATAATATATACTGTAATATTATCGTCTTTGTATATTATACGTATATATATATATATATATGTGTGTGTGTGTGTGTGTGTGTACATGTTATATACACGCGTTTTGTCGCAGCAACAGCAATTTAGCGTTAATCGTTAAGCGCTATTATATTCCACGTATAATAATAATGTATAAGTATACAGCAGCCGTTGTTATGCAGTCCGGGATCGCGGGGGCAAACGAAAAACTTTACTATCAACACATAGGTTTAGCTATAATATTGACTATCGCGGCGACGGCTTTTGAGACAAACGTACCGTTTTACGCCTATACGCGGACAACATGCCCGGTAATATTGTATATTATAAATAATGCCTTGGTTTCGTACGTAAATACACGTATTTATTGCAGTGGCTGCGCGAAGGAGGTATATCCAAAATAGCGTGGTTCGCAAAAAAACGGGTGTGGACGCTCGATTGTTCGGCAATACAACAAAAGCTATTATGTTATTACGAAACGAAAGTCGTTAAACGAATTTTAGACTGCGGAGGTTCAATGAATTTCATTAAAGACCCCCCCCCTCCTCCCCAAGGAAACTCGGTATTCATTCCCCGACTTGTAGATTCCGGGGTATTTTCGGTAGAGTGGGTGGAAAATTAAATCGGCGATTCGAGGTGAGAATACTTCGCATCGCCAATGATTTATGCATATAATACACTGTATTATCAAAGACGGGTAAGATGACTATCGACCGATCCTCTTAAAACTAAATCTCTCGCCGATCGCCGACACTCAAATAGCAAAAGAAAATAATTTCAGCGGGTATCGACTTACCGATAACTCTCGGCTCTCGCTCATTAACTTTCAAAATGGTTTATTTCGCATCGTTCCTGGCGCTAAAACGGGGAGAAACGTATAGGAAAATCGAGACAATTTACTACGGCTGCAGCAATAATAACGATTACTTTAATTCCGATTTCGATGTTTCGTCGGTGTTGTAATTCAGTCGGGTGAGAATACTCGTAGAGACCCGACTGATACTAAACGATTTCAGTGAGTCGCCCCAATGATATATCGCGGCGCACGTGTACCGACGATATGACGATAATAATATTGTTTCCCCGGCGAGAATAAAAAAAGATTTACCTCCAATGATGAACGAGTGCTCGCATATGTGTGCAGGTATAATAACAATAATAGTGTATAGTATTGCTCGCGCGCAAATCGACTACCGAACGACGACCGATAACATTTCGACCACGCACTGACTGAACCGGCGAATATCAGCAGCTATCGCACATTCTTTGGCACAGCCGGCCACCGTCGTCCGACTAGGTATATCCTATCCTTGAGGCACCACCGGAATATTAATTTTCTAATTACCCCCACCAGGCTCTGCAGCAGTTATAAATACACGTATTATACACTTAAATTTAATATTCCTGGAACATTAATCGATTTCCGATGTTCTATCTACGTCAATATCGCATCACCCGTTATAATATGCGCTGTGTCGGAGCATTTTTGAGGAACACTTAATACGCAGCAGTATGGATACCTGCAGGATACCCGGTAGACAGTATTCGAATAGAAAAAATAAAAGAAAGGGAGAAAGGAAGACAAAAAATTAGATTGAAAAAAAACGGAGCGTCCCTTGCAATTATTAATTTCAATCTAACCCGTTGAGGACTTTGCATTCCAACACCTCCCTTGCGCTGATTTTTTAAAAATAAATCCATAATCCGCTACATTTAACACAATCTCACAGAATATTATTATTTTTAGACTAACAGTAATTATTAATTAACAGGGTTAGATATGTATAATATTGTATAATATGCATTTCAAATAATCGGAATCATTCAACTATATCGTTCAGCTATCGTTAATCGTACTTATCATTTATCATTTATTTTATCATACAAAACCGCAAACATGTAGTACAAAAATAAAGATAATAATTTGTTACTGAAATGCTAATTATGTAAAAAAAAACCTAATTTATTTGAGTTGATGATAGCAGGACAATAAATATTTTTTGAAAACATCATTATTTACTCAAAAAGACGTACTATCGTACCATCGAGCTACGATAATAAACTATATAACCTTTATATTTATTACAATATTACTTAACTCATTTACATACGATAAATAAATAAAACGTCCTTAAATACTGTACATACTCAACATACTCAAGTCTCAGGTATAAACGGATGTAAACACCCCGACTATCAAACACTAATCGAAAATATTTGTATAAATACACCTAATTAACGAAATTATGTTTATGTATAACTAACTGAAAAATATATTAAGTTATAATGTATTGTGTTTATTTTATTCACAGAAATGGATTTAGGCCTGTATCCGACCCAGCGATATCAAGACCGATATTCCTTCCACCTCATTTTGGATCATTACAGTCGCCGTTGTTCAGTGGGCTCAAAGGTAAAACCGAAAAAAATTATTCGTTTATTACTCGGCGATATCGAAATACGATTAATATATAAGTTAACTCGATTATTTCTAAATCCAACAGTATTTATTTAATTAACAGTAATAAATGTATGTATTCAATGTATTTCATTATAATATAGGTAGTGGTTAAAGTATTTCTAAGTAAAATTATCGGTTTCATTTAGTTTAAGTTCGGGGACACTTTATTTATTGTCACTGGGATATTTTCAATGCAATTTTGAAATCAGAATCTGTTTTTATTTTATTTTTACTGAACAGGTATATGTACAGGATAATATTTGAGGAGAGAAGGTAAAGTTTATTTTGAAACCCTATTAGTAAAAGATTTTTATGACCAAATGTGAGTAAGAAAAAAACATTTTCTGGGGTTCCTGACATTTTTTTTGGATAAATTAGTTCTCAAGAACGCCTTCAATTTTTATATTTCGACAAATATAATCCCACTTCAGAGTTTTTCCCATTTTAACTGCTGATGATAGGTGCCTAATGAGATGGATGTAATGAGTAGGTACTTATAATAATTTTTAAATATTATAGTTATTGTAGTGTAAATAAATCGCGGTAATGATTTTTTATTTATTCATTTTAACTAAAAATCACGCATGACAAGAGTGCATAATAGTATTTGATTTTAAAATATTAACCTATTTTATCTTCTGTACATCTCCTGAATATTATAATAAGTACTTGTATAATACAATATTATTATTAAATATACGTATAGTTACACACGCGTAGAGATAATAAAAACAAATTAAAAATTTAAAACTCGGTATTATTATTATTTTAGGGTAATTATTGTGTATAAACTTTATAATACGGATTATAAAATGCGTATTAAACGGTATAATATCTACGGTAGGTAGTAATATACCTAATACCAAGGAAAAAATGAATAATAAATGAAACAATATTATAAGTCAATTTTCGTAATATGCATAATACACCGTATATAGGCAACTGGAAAGCTATAGCAAAGCATAACCGCATGCCGATTTCTATACTACCATACTTGAAAAACTTTATTGAACTAACATCTATATATGTATACGCTGAATATTTACATTCGATTATAAAAACACTATACAATACACGTTTTAAGTGGATTTAATCTTGTAATCGTGATAATGGATCGCTATAAACTATACAATAATTTACTGCACAATTCGAAATATATATTTCTACTATATTATAATACTTATTTAATCGAGTGTCAGTTGTTCTACAGAACTTTCCGAAAATTAAATTACGAACCTTACTTAGTCATCGAAGCGAATACTATTTATGCTACCTAGTATATAATAATGAAGATAAATTATGAACCCCATTCAATTATTATTATACCTACGTAATATTATAACATAATACAGCTATACATTTTATATTATAATATGCATTTATATAAATATATATACTCGGAAATTAAACTTGCACTACACACCAAATAAGTATAGCTCTGGAGAAATTCCGAAGACGATATCTACATAATATCCAAACTATAGTTATACGTAGGTATTACGATTGCAACTACTGTAGTATATACCTAATACAACTATACAATGAATAAAATAATAAATTGGTGTTTAAAGAACGACAACTATTTAATACATTTTTATAGTATAGTACAAATTCAATATCGAATGAACGGTTCCGGATAAAATATTATATTTAAATATATTTTTACATAACCGAATTTACCATATCAATAGTGCAGTTGCCTGTTACGTATATATATATATAAACTGGAGGGAAATAAAACAAAATATAAAATCGAGATGAAAATATAATAAATATACGGTTTTGAAAATGGAGAAAATTAAAAGCAATTTTAAAATGTGTACTCATAAGTAATAGATATATTCAATTTATATATTTTACATACCTATACCTACAGCGTAATAATATATAAATCGGTCGCAAAATGTTCTTTTCTAAAATGTGAAAAGTTATTAATATTGTTAATTTATTCTAAAAATTCAAATTTCTTTGATTCTGAACTATTATGTGTAACTATATACAGTAGGTAATAGTTTGATTTGAATGGATTAATATTTACATGCACGTGTATACGCGATTCACGTATTCACGTTGAATTTAATATGAATTCACCAATAGTCTAAATAAATATAGTTTATTTAATAAGCTATTCCAAATAGGTAAATACATAATATTATATTATACCTATAGCGAATGTAAAATTCATAATATTACATTGAGTAGTTGTCAGTGGTTATCGACCCCCATGATATTTGACCTGCAGACAAATACGCATTAATACAAACCTAACAATATAATATGGCACGAACCATGATAAAATATATATACGAATATGTGGACTTTTTTTGTATTTTGATGAATCATCACAATTTCAAGACGACTTTTTCGATTTATCACCAAAAAAAAAAAAAACACTAAAATTAAAACCCCTCTAAACCAGCAGTGGCAATCGCAATAGAAAAGTAGCTACAATTTGGTGGGCAATGTTGGGAATGAAAAAGAGGAAATGGTCCACAAACGGTTTGATACAGATTGACTGGTTTAATCCGATATAAGGACAAATTTCGCTACCGCCCGAAACGTCTAAAATGTCTGATTAAATCGTAATTGGATTTGATATCCGGAATAAAAAAAAAATAAAATAAAAAATCTGTAACACAGACTCTGTTAAACCGGATTAAACAGATTTTGTCAGTTTGTTCAATCGATTTTTTTTATATAATTGCAAATTGCAGATTGATTCTGTTCAGTGTACTATATTTCGATATAGTATATATTAGTATACTACAGGTCACTGAATCTAAAAATTAAAAAAAAAGAATTATTATGAACCGCGTGTTAAAATATGCGTATTGAAAACAAAATTATAATCATCGCGGTATAACCCGTTGGGTCTATTCTCAGGCAAAGTGTTCCTCCAGAAGAATATAACGTAATTGCAACAAACTTAAACAGTAAAGTAGTAAACATATTATACACAAACACAGCCCACGGAGGAGGGGAGTTCACTTAGCCCCCTGCCTCGGCTATGCCACCACCCACGGCAAACGTATCTATTCCGTACATTCCTAAATATTCATCTACTAATGTAGCAGATTTTTCAGCGAATTGATAAGAATTTAGAAACACCTTTTTTTGTAATACATTTGAATATGCTGGTTAATAATTTTGACCATGATTATTGTCTTATATCAACTGTTAACATAAATCATTAAGTTCATTATTTATATTTAACTAAAGTGTTAAATTTTTAAAATAAAGTAATTTACATCTAAAGTACCTATACTTATATAAACACAATCTTTATGAATTAATTGGATTTTCACTTTGTAAATATTTGTATGCTTTAATACGTCTAACTTCTAAAAGATTAAAATGCACAAAAAACACAATGAACTAGAAAGGTGAATGAATAAAAAGTTAAATTAATTAACTTTATCGGATATTCATATATCAGTGACTTTTAGGGCGAAAAAATCCCTCTGGTTGTAATATAATCAACCAGTCAAAATATAGTGGATTACTGATGAGGGAATCCGATTGACTATACCTCCCCTCCAGTGGATTTGCTATCTGCTGTAATTAGGAACATCCAAATCCAGCGGCTGACCAATCTGATGAATTTAGGAACACACGGATTATTTGCAATATATTTTTGTATTATCTAAAACTTGGCCGTGCTAAAATTATTTACGATCGAATATCACTGGAGGATTACCCCACACATCCTTAACCTATTCGACATTTCAAAATAAAATTATATATTACTTGCACATGGAATAAATAAAATTGAATAATGAGATCCAATTTTCAATAATGAATCTCAGGGATGGGTACCTCCTTAAAGTATGAAAACAATTAACATAAACTTACGTAATAATGTAATATAAATACGATAATAGCTTATACAATTATGCAATAGTATAATAGTAATTACTTATCTCATATCTGAGTACTATTTGAGTATGATATACATTTATTTTATTTTGATCAAAGTCTGGGGGTACTAATTTTAGATTTAGGGGTGCTAACCCCCTGTAGGTGCACCAATGGTACATTTACGTAATGGAACCGCGGACGTACAGGTCGGATATTTTCGTAACTTTTCCGTGTCGATTTTCTTCTGGCGTTTATACCCGTTAAAATTATATGCTCGAGAGTCGCAGTCTAATGAATAAAAATTATATATACATAGCGGAATATTACATAAACACGTACGTTTGTCATAATAATTGGTTAATAACGGCGGCGGCGAGTGCGTACCGTCACTGTCTTCATCGTCTCGTATAATATAATGTATGTGTGTGTGTGTGTATACTTATACCATTACCCCGTGGTCGGGGTAGTTTGTCGCAGAGGTGCCGGTGGAGGTGGAGATGGGTTTATCGTGTTAGCCGTGGGCATTCTTCCGTCGGTGATGTGTGTGTGTGTGTGTGTGTGGCGGTATCGGGGTGGATCGGCGGACGGACATCCCGGGGGGGCGAGTATATACCGCGCGGGACCGCGGGCACCTGGGGCTCTCCCGCGCTCCTACACGGCTCGCGTCACCGAACAGACGCCGCGCGACCCGCCGCCGCCGCAGCTAGTCCGCCGTCCCCGTTTCCGTAATGGAATAACTTTGGGAGATTTATCGTGCGGAGCGGCTTTCGGCGCCAAGTTTACGACGGGTATACGTATATAATAATAATAATAATAATCTGTACGCGTCTATGTGTGTGCCCACACGCGCGCGCGCGGGATCGTTCGAATAACACGTATACACATATAATATTATATTATATATACACACGCGTATTATAGGTATATACGCGTACGCCGCCTTGAGGACGGAGGAAGCGGCGGCCGCGGAAGAAGTCAATGTGCGAGTGTTGTGCGCGCGCGCGTTATAATAATCAAACGGATCCCTTAATAAATAACGACGAAACGGGCACCGCGCGGGCGGCGGCGGCGGCGGCGCGCGTTATTAATGGATCGAATGATATGGGACGGTGCAGAGGCGTGCGCGGCCGAAGGGTAGAACAAGGGATACTGTGTATAAACGGCGGCGCGCGAGCTAAGGGCGCAGCGGCGGTGCAGGTGGTGTCTTTCGGCATGGCGGCGCGCGGTGTACGGCTAAATCAATTTGCACCGACGACGCCTTTTCGCAATAATCATAATTGTTATTATAATATACGTATACACGCAGCCGCGGAGGAGAAATGCTCGCCAGACGATCGAATTTTTTATTTATTTTTTTTTCTGTTCACGTACCTACAGCCCATCGCCATCGTCGTCGTCGTCGACGCCGTGCCTTCGCGTCGACGGCGGCAGACACGTCATTAATTTACCGCGTGTCCGCAGGAAAAGGATAATATTTGTGGTGTATACAGTCGCGGTTGGCACGACCGAGCGAACGACGAGGGGAAGTAAAGGATTATGGATAATACATAATAATAATATAAGTGTACGAGCAGAACGATTTTTTTGTGATTTTTTTTTTTTCGATTCGCCCGCTCCTCCTAATGAGATTACGAACGACGCGATAACGAGAACGTCAAACGTCGGCCACCGCCGCCACTCTTTTTTTTTTCTCGATTATTTATTATTATATTGTGGCACTGCTGTATCCGCCTGATCCGTAGTATACCCTCAAACGCGCGGTTTTGTTGTAACATTCGCTCGGGTTTCCTTTTTTTTTTTCTTTTTAATATATATTATATTATATATCTCGATTGAATAACCGTACACGTGTATTTGTACCGTGAGCGGACTCACAGTAAATTATGACAATCCAAAAACGATTCTTAGCCGAGCTCGGTAAACTGTCGTATACCGCACTGTACAGTGTCCCAAAAAGATAATATCTCCTGAGATAAACAAATCCCGTTTTTTTTTTTTGTTTTTTTTACATATTTCTCACTAGGATAAATATTTATGTTACAATTGATTTTTTTTATGTTTCGGTAAAAAAACAAATCAAATTACTTTGTATTTTATTATTTTTGAAAAATTCGAAGTTAGCCTTCTATATAGAGTTTATTCTTCTGAAAATGTTGAAAATAATTTTTAAAAGTTGAGAGAAAAGAATAATGTTTACAGTCAATATTAATCGTAACAATAATAATCAATTAGAGAATGCAATAATAGCCGGCCGCATAATTATATAGGTACATTTATTGTCAGTTTTTTCTAAAAAAAAAAAAAAAAAATATTCGGGAAAAACTGTCGGGTTATTTTTGTTTTTCGAATAAATCCGCAATCTCTTTATAAGCCATAACTACGATGTGAATTATAATTCGAAGCGTGTTTTGTACAGACCCGAAATAGGATTTTCCGTAAAAAGCACGCAACATAATATAAAACTAGCGAAACTAACATTAATAAGATTCTCCGCTGCACTGCAGAATCTAATATAATGCACTTTAATTTCTCGTTATTAACTTTAATTGTTATTGTATGGGTAAATTGTACTACAACAATTCTACGCGCGAACTACACGGCATCTATATTACAATATGTTTAATTAATACCAGAGTAGGTAATAACAATGTGATGTTTGCTATTCGACAAAAATAATACAATAAAATACGCGGGTTTAATATTCAAACAATACGATATTTAATAATAATTAATTCCAAGGTCAACAGTACAGGTATGGGATACTAGAGGCCACTGTCTACAATAATGAAATCCGAGAAATTAGTGTATGATCGTACGCACACGATGGGCACTTCCGAATGGCTCGTACTGTCGATAGTTACGACGGATTATCCAATATAGTGCTTCGTTCGAATATTTTTTTCCACGACTGAATGCTTTTCTTCGTAAAAACTATTCGAACAGTTTATTCCCTCAGTCACTGATTGGGGGAAGGGGGGATAGGGACGATCACCCCGCCCCCGCTCATAGCCCCTTGCAGTATACTGAATTTCATCGTACGATGTGTGTGCTTTAAATTAATTTTAAAAATTGTCCACTCTCCCCCCTCCCGTTATTATCTTGTTCTGGATCCGCCCCTGATTTATCCCGTAACCGAATAAAAACTGTTAGAAAAGTTTTCTCCATAACTGAATAGCGTTAAACTGTATATACATAGTGTTCAATCTATCGAATAGTTCGACAAGTACTATTCGGTTGCATCCATCAATAATCGTATATATTATGATTCGCGTGCTTATACTCGTAATTTGATATGCTAAGAGAATATTTTATTTCTCCTAAACATATTATTATTGACGTTGTCAAATTCGGTAAAACCACGACACGCGTGTAGTGGTGCACGATTTCTGTAGGGAATTGATTCGTCAAAGGAACGCGAATTAAATTATCGACGAAAACTATATAATATTAACATAAATTATGTGGTATATCGGAAACGAAAACGACGATACAGACAAATTACGCTCCGGCTGCGGGTTAAATTATTTTACAGTGTATACTACATCATCAAATCAGATATAAAATTACCTGTGTGTCAAAAGTTAGTGTGGATGGGTAAAACTTTAAGTGGTATCCAATGATAATATACATATATATATAAAATAAGCGTAATATTATACACTATAATATACTCTTATATGATATATACATATACGTAATACAAGAAAATCCGTTTTCGCGCACGGTTGTTCGGTATAAGAGAAAATCACTCGGGATGTTTTTCAACCGTCCGCAGTGAATACTGTACTACCGCGTATCGGCATTTCAGAGAAATGTACATACATTATCCATTATTTAAACATCCGATAGAAAGAAAAACAAACACGTCTATATAATTTGCCAAATTGGTTTTGGCTGCTTGCAAATCAACAGGGATATTTCGGTACCGATTTCGATGTTCTAACGTCGCACGGACGCGTCGAATTTCACCGGCATTGCCAGCAGTGACAAGATATCAGAAAAAAGCGACAGAAACGAGACACCGGGTAGAATATCGGACCGTCCAACAAAATCCTCCCCCCCACAACCAGGATATGAATTACTTTGGCACACGATTAATGAAAGTATACGACAGGATTGTGAGACGCGGACTATGAGTACGAGAATGTGCATGTGTCGAGTCATTTATCGGAATGACCAATGGTTACCAGTAAAAGGCACTATAAAGAAGGAGGACGTTTTAGGAAAACCGTTAAAATATTTTCTAATTAAGTTTGCTGAATTCTAGGAGAAGAATGAAATTGAAATACCACTGTTCGAAACGCAAAGATTACCTGAAAAATATTGATATTGATTTGAAATTGTTGTATATCATGCCATGGGTAAGCCAAGTTCATGGACGTGTATATTGTATTTATAGTGCAAGTGATTTCGTGATATTGTAGGGAAAGATAAAGAGATTAAACGTCTTCTCTGACCACCGGTATTTTAAAATATGTTTCACATTAGCTTTGTCATCGAAATATCAGTTCCATATTTTCGATTTTTTTTTTTTTTAGTTATTTTTTTTACCGTGCAGTAGGGATCACGATATCATCAATAATAATAAATAAAATAAACTGACATACTTCGCACTATCGGGTGTGGCACTGTTGTAGGTGAGAAGCTAGGAAGGTATAGTATATATGAATAGGGAAATTTAAATAATATCTGTATACGCAACGATAAACCATCACTAATTAAAAACGATTCTGTGGAAATTTCAGTTAAACTTATTTTTTTTATAAACTTAAATTGAGAATTGTCCAAGTATGAAAATTAAAAATGTTATTAATTCGTAGCTACAAAATACAATATTACAATTGTCCGTCGTTTTTCGTCTCAAATCATGGTGTGTAATTTTATGATGCCGTAAAAGTTGTATTTACATAAATCAGAAAAGAGTACGCGATTTGTATTAAAAATTTAAAGTTCAAATTTGAAGATTTTCAGCAATTAAATTCTGTTGCAGTTTCAAAAATAGTTTTTCCGTCACGGTTTCAATAAGGTTATTTCGAACAATAAGGAATATTCCCCGACCATCTGTTTTCCGTTTTTACAAGGAGAGGCTTATTTTGGTCTCGTAGTAAAGTTCACGTTTTCGTCATTGGCGAGCTTGTATTATTAATATACAAATATATATTTATATACATATATACGCAAAATGGTTAATAAGCCGTAAACAAGTAGAAATTGTTTAATTAACTAAATATCTTCTTACATTATCCACCCGAGTTACGACCGCAGCAGTGGCGGCGCTATTTTATTATAATGTTACCGAGGAAACAAAGAATTATACTTCGCGTTACCCCGTAATAAAATAACGAGAAAATGTTTTATTCATAATCGAGAGAGTCATTTATTTACATTTTACTTTAGACGTTCCACATAAAAGGTTTAAAATGGTTCTCCGTTATTAAATTCGGAATAATTAAAAAAATGTTCGTAATTTAAACTGAAATATATATCTAAAGGAAACCATTTTTTATTATATACTAAACACTATATGTATATATATATATATATATATATATATATATATATACATATACATTATACATATTATAATATATAGTCTCGTATTACATCTTCGTAGATTTTTAATGAAGTTATATTGAATAATATTGTTGATACACCAAGAACAAGACAAAAATCCGAATCAATAAAAATATCAAGTCTTGACTGACAGCCTTTGGGTTGTAATATTTTTACGCCGCTGTAGTTTATAGCGAATTACATTATTTTCGTTAAGTTAATTATGAAAAACAAAATGCGGTATCATTTTTATTGAGAGTCAGATTTCCGAATCTTGGTTCGTCGTCACCGTCGCTACCGCTACCGCCGCGGTTAAATTCAAACTATACTAATATTTATCGTTTATAAATTTACGTAATATTATCGTTGTTACGGATATAATAAAATTGTGCGTTTTACCAAAATTAAAATTATCGAATTGCACATGGGTGAACAAAGAAAAGATAATGGTCGAACGGAAAAAAAAAAATTGATTTGTGATATAAATTTAACAATTTCAAAAACGCTTTTTTACTATACACCTGTGTACGAAAAAAAAACCTCATTTTTTTTACCTACCAACAACGATAATTAATTAACAAAATTGTAAGTGAAGAGAGAAAAGGCCACTAGGAAAGGCCGTTGAGAAGATCTTATTAACTATCATGACTTTTCAAGTATCCTAAGAGAAGAGCAAGAAAATGTAGACAGTAAAAAGGTAGCAGTGAACAGAAAAGACTGGATAAGGGTTTATTTGACAGAATGGTCTCAGCGGCTGATAGAAGGGATAAAAAAAAATATGGGACGGGTAATTAGTATTTTAAAAACTTTAAAATCAAGTTTTTTTTCGAACATTTTTATTGAAATACATTTTTATATCTATATAAAGTGCAGTACGACCATTACCAGTTTTCCACCTGAGTGCACAGTTCGACAGTTAACTTTTTTGTTTAACCCGAGTGCAACAATTCGACCTTACCCGCGTTGTTACAGCTATTCACTTCAGGATTTTAACTAACTATATTAAAGCTGTGTTCAAAATTAATAATCTTACTTGTTACATTTTCTCACATTGGGCAGGGGACGTTTTCAATTACCTAACATATTTTCCAAGTGACTACTTGAGCGATGCAACCAATGCAATGCGTAACTTTAACAATCTATTAAAACTTCGTTCGTATAAATACGTATATGATACACGCCATTCGAGCAATGTAAATTTTGACGTTCTCGTCAACTGTGCAAACAAAGTATTATTTACCGAGGAAAACTTAAACGTAATATTTTCACTTTTCCATCGCGTCTACCGATCCCCTACAGTATACAATACGTATACATATATTATACTACTCGACTGAAAATCCATTACCGACAGTTGATACCCGTTTGTTACGAGACGGGAATTATTGTCATACTCCTTAATTCATAGACGTGACTAAGGTAAAAATTATGAGAGGGGGGAGGAGACTATAGCCTAAAACAAATTTGTTCGCTTAAATTTGAAAATACAATATTGTAATCATAAAAACAAATACAAATAATTATTATAAACCTAGTCGTCTCACGCCCGGCGTTGCCCGTGCCAATTTTTATTATTATTATTTTATCCGTAGGTATTCATTTTATTTTTGGTTTTGGCCGTGAATGAAAACAAATAGATGAAAAGTGGGTAGTCTACCTTCGGCGGACTAAATGTGTTCTATTATGAAATTTTAATAGTGTAAATAATAGTAATAATAATTATAATAGTTTTTTTTTTTTTTCCGTAACACCAAGATAATCCTTGAATAAACAAAAATAAATAAATAAGCAATTAGATATTCGTACCAAATATACCTAAAAAAAACCATAGTTTACCTCCCCCCCCTTTTTAAGTCCCCTTTGAGTCTTTTCGATATTTTAATAGTTATTCTGCTATTCGGGGCGGAAACGAATCCAACAAATCAGAGATCTTCAAAATCGGTCCAGCTTTAGAGTTATAAATGGTGTGACTAACCCGACTTTGTTTTATTTATATATATAGTATATAGAAGATATTAATATATCTAAGTAACTATATTCGTCGTAACTGAAAGGGGGGCTGTTTGGAAAACTGGACGAACTTAGCCCCCCAAGCCCCCTAGTTGCGCCTATGCTCCTTATACTATTATTATTATAACTTGCAGCACTAATGCCGTATGTACTCGTGTCCGCAGGGTTCGGGTGTAACTGTTGCACCATGAAGCCGTTCGCATCGATGGCCGAGACCGGCGGCGCAGAGCATCGCTCGTCCAGCGTGGCCGAGCTACGGCGCAAAGCACAGGAACACTCGGCCGCGCTGTTCCACAGCCTACAACACGTGGCCAACATGCAGCATCACGCGGCCGCGGCCGCCGCGCTTCAGTTGCCCGTCGGCCTCGGACTTCAGCTGCCGTCCCTAACGTCCACTCTTCACGCGCTGGCCGCCAACCGAAAACCGGAATCGCAAATGTCACATCCGCAACCGCTGTCGCTGACCACAAACACCACGACCACAGCAGCCGCCACCTCTACGGCGGTGGACCAATCCACCTCCACGATGCTGTCATTGCAACAACAGCCGCCGCCGGCGCAATCGTCGTCCGAGTCCAACAACTAAATCGCAATAACCGTTCCTCGCGTCATCGTCGTCTCGTCCCATCCCCGGCGCAATCGTACCGACAGTGCTCGTCAGATTGAACTGAACCTATATCGCGCCCCAGTCGCCTTGTACAACTTTTCTAACACAATTCAGTAATACTAATATTGAGAAAAAAAAACCAATCAAAAATCACTCCGACTAATTTTTTGCTTACATATGTATTTGTTATATTTTTTAGTTTTTAATTTTTAATTTGTTTTAATTCTTTCCAGTTTTCGTAAAAAAAAAAAGATAATGTTTAGATTTTGGTTAAATAATTACTACCTATAAAGCAAAGTAAGTAGTACTTAACTATCACGCGGGGTAAAACGTGCAATACACAATAATTAATAACAATGACAATAATTTTTATTAATTACCGAACGAGAAAATAATATTCTATAGAGCAAAATTAATACGATTTATCCGAGTGTGATATAGTATTACGTGGTTTTTTTAAAAACATCATTATTCGCAAAAGAGAGACAACGTACCTTCCCACCGTACCAATAGAAATAATCAGTTATAGAGCCGTCAAAAATCAGTTACCCCTACATCCCCTCCCCACCCTTAATTCGAGCACTGTCAACTGACATGCAATATTATAATATTATTATGCGTATGACTATTGCATCAATTGCATATTATTGCAATATTGTTCATTAAGTAGGTACCTCCAACCTACTCGTAATATTACTAATTATTCGATCGATAATAATATTAATCGTATTTTTAACCTTTTTTGGGTTTTTATATAGTTATTTATGATTTTTTTTTTTTCGTTGGCCATTAGTGTGTGATATTCGTCTGGTTTGTGTATCTTTATAAATTTGTATAGCTTTCGTTTTCCCATTATAATATTATATACATAATAATTTAGCATATTATTATTATTATTATTATTATTATTATTAGTATTATTATTATTATTATTATTATTACAATAACATACACACGTAGCGTTCGTTTATACGAGTAGTATTTACATTAGATAGGATTATTACGTAAAAGACATGATCAAAAAATTTAAAAAAAAAAAAAAAAAAGATATAATAATATTCATATGTAATACCTTATTGTGTAGTTCAAATTGTTATCTTTTTTTGTTAAGTGATAACGTATAGCATGATACGAAATAAACTTAATTCGTAATATTAAATTATGTCTATATAACATGTATGTCGCATAACAAAAAATCTATATATTATAAACCGTATGGACACTGCAATATTATAATTATTATTATAATTCTTGATTATAATAAGCGATACATTATATTATATACTTACTTCCCCGATCGCGGATATTATAATTTTTATATGTAAAAAAAAAAAAAACAGATATAATAATATTCATATGTAATACCTTATTGTGTAGTTCAAATTGTTACCTTCTATGTTTGAACGTTTATAACGTATATATTATTATTATATACCTATTAGACGTTTTCAACTATAATGTATGTGTACGTGTGAAGTATTATTATCATTATTATTATAACTTATATTATTATATTAAATCATTTTAAATCGTAACGTTTTAATTGTTTTGATATTCCCCATTCCTATAGAAAATAATTAAAACCGAACAAATTATCGAAATTCGTATAAAAACTACAACTTTATACAAAACTATAATATTATAACTCATAAAGGCATCAAAAATATCAATAACCATAAATTGAACGACTATTATGTACATATATTAAATTAATTTATGAGATAAATTTTCAACGCGAGTAATTTATCGGTAAGTAAACATGCATTCCAAAAATATAATATTTGAAAATTGTTATCAAGTGAATAGCTTGTTATAGATACTACAGTATATCGAATATCTAAATACTCATTTTGAAGTATCTTTAATCTTGACCATAGTCGTCCGAAGAGGAGAAAAGCTGGATCATTTCCCTCTACCCGGCATACCCCGAAAATTTCGAAAAAAAAATTAAAAATTTAAAGCGATTGTACGGAAATGAGGGAAATTGCTGGGCACCTCGAAAAATGTTCTAAATAAATCACCGCCGTATCTTTTAAGATACTGCATGCAAAATTGAATTCATATTTGAATGTTTCGAGTATCTATAGTACACATATAGTATTTGCTATTTAAATATTTACGATGATAGTATCATTTATTACAATTCTTGTTATCTACGACACCCATCATCTCTCTCGCTAAATAATTGATTTGGTTTTTATAAACCGATTTTTAAATCTCATTTTCAAAAATCTCGTATGAGACACATTTCGTATGCAAAAGTCGTACGACATCTTAAATACCTACCTATTCTTAAAACACTCGCGACATTTTCTTTCATAACGAAATATTTTTGTCGTAGAAGAGATTTGTTTCACATGTTACCGACGTTACCACCTAATAAAATGCTAGTAAGAAATAAGGACCTAAATTATGTTGTTCTTCATAATTCGTATTTCCAATATCAATATACTATTTAAAAATTCAACAAAGACTATAGGCACATTTTAATTTAAAATAATTCGTGTTTTCAGTGGAAATCGAACACGCAGTCCATCTCTTTATATGGCCCAAACATGCAGCGATTGGAGCAGGTGCGGCTCCAAAGATTATTGGTTAGGGGGGGGGGGCTAAGTCATATTTTTCAGAAAACTATACAACAAAGAGCATATTATTTTATATTATATATATATATATATATAGTAGATGCCTCTTAATATTATTTACAAGTGTTTGTAATATTCGATAGCATAATATGTTTTTTTTTTTTTTTTCTTAATGTTGATGTTTTAACAAAAAATTCTGGCTCGGGAGGGCCACGGCCCCTCGGATTCGCACCCAGATCGGGATCACTGTATAGTACCCCGAGAGTTTTTTGCCAACAGACACGGTAGGTACGAATCATAATAATATAATAGTATTTTATTATCATTTCGTACCGATGACGAGCGAAAAATATGAACGCACTGACTCGAAGAACTGCGACGTCAGGACGCCGCCACCAACTGCAGCGCGCCGCCGGCGGAGAAAATCGAACAATACGAAATCGTCGAAAGCGCATATTATGTATTGTGAATTATGATGTATACAGATCAATTTTGCACCAGAGTCCGGGGAGCAATAAAAAAAAAAAAACGCCCCTCCGCTCAACCGGCGATGGTTATTATAATATTATTACTTATTATATACCGAGCTCTTGGTGCAGTATATAAGTGATCGGAGCAGTAAACCGAAACGTTTTTAAATTATTTTTGAACGAAAAAAATAAATATATATATATATATACAAACGTTATATTACGAGACGGTCCGCCGGTGTTATTGTTATTATTATTATATGGATTTAGTACCGGATATGGGCTCTCGAATGTCTCTATATACGTACGGCCCGCGTTACAGTGTATACCGGAAGGGGATCCCCGACCGTACTCTACAACTACTACTACTACGTACTATACGCATACGACTACTACATTACTACTACTACTACTACTACTACTACTACTACTACTACTACAATACGTATACGTACGATATTATGTACAGAGTGATCGACGTATTATAACCGTCAGACGCTCGGAAAGTATTAACTTTTTTCGGGATTTGTTCTATTTTTCGAAAAACAGGCGACACTAAAACATTACATTACCTACCGCGATTTTTCGTCACCCTTATGTCTGCGACCCAAACCACCGCCCCAATTATCGTTGTCAAATATTATAATATTAAAAATTCCAAGACGGAGTTTTACCTTCAATAAATGTCGGTGTTAAAACTCGTATATAACAGTTGCCGCGTCGACGAGATATTTTCCAAATATTTTCGGGGCAATCCACTATTTTAAGTTTGCCGTTTCGCGGTCGGGTGCTCCACTCTTCTGAATAGTGGAGCATCCATTGTTCAAACGTCGAGCGCCACCACATGATACTCCGCCACTCTCCTCGGACACGGAATCGAAAGTGAAATATCTCATCGACGGGTCGACGGAAATTGCACGGATTTCGGCACCGATAATGTTCGTTTAAACCAAAAGTTCGTCTGTTTACGGCGTTTTTATAATAAAATAAACGTTTCTATTATCAAAAAAGTGGGTACCTACATCGGTTTCGACCGCCATTCAATTCTAAATGAAAAACATCGCTCAATGTGGACGGTATTATCAACAACTGACATCGACCTACTGTTCACACGTACACATTTGTATTATTTTATATTATTTAAATTTTCGCATTATGTAGTGATCAAAAGAGCTCGTAAATAGAACTAATACCAGTTGCCGCTATAGTTTATCCCATCTTTTTAAAAATGTTCCCCGCCACCGTCTTTTTCTTTTTTTAACGTGGGTAGCTATGATGATGAACGCAGCACTGGCACCAGCAGCAGCGGTTGTCAGATCCATTTAACTATTAATTTACCTCCTTTAACTTGTAACAACTCTTTAACTCCCCGACAGACGGATGTGGACGCACAACTATTATTTTTGTTTGGACGCGCCACACTGTTGACAATAATACGCATCCGGTATAATACATATATCTGTATCCGACAAATTCGTTGCCAACACTCGGCAACGTATTGTCAACAGTTGCCATCAAAATGTCGCTTGGTCCGTATGTACACCTTTACGCGTTGAACGTCCTGTATACCGGGAGCGCGGAACCGTAATATTCGTTCCGCGAAACTTCCACCAGCGATTCGTGCGGACGAGCCGTCGACGGGAATCCGCCGAACCGGACGCTCCGCGCCGTCGAGCCCCCGTGAATAATGTAGCGGACGGACGCGGAGGCCCCGCCGACCAATTAATGCCAACGACGCGGCCGCGGCGGTCGAGATAACGATTCGTGTCGGAAGTGGTACGCGGTAAAGACAGATTTTGGACGCGAATTGTTTAAACCACCGCGGTATTATATCATCGGCCTTGAAATAAAATAAAATTCGGCGATGGGAAATATATCGACTTATTATAATGCCGGTACGTGTGCGCAAGTAAAACGGATATTGTATAAAAGAAAATGAAAAAAAATAAATAAAACCGTCCTAGGATAACGGGAACGGGTGCAGCCACCGTTGTAGGTGGGAAGTCGGGAATTTAATGTATATATATAATGCAACGATAAACCATTTCTAACGGAAAAACGATTCTGAGTGAAGTTGATAGTGTTGCTTTGTCAACAATGGAAAAATTAAAAAATGACATCGTTAAAGCTTCCCAGTCTGATTTTCTTTCAAAAAAAATGGTATGGTTGAAAATCGGAGCAAAATTGCAAGTAGAAAAGTTGCCCCCAAAGAAAAAAAAAAATAAACATCATTGTAAAACCATAAACTTTTTCACTCTAATCAAAATCTAAAAATACGATTAATATTAATTTTGTAAATTAAGAACAACTGTAACTCAAGATTGTTTTGATAAAAATATTTTCTATAAAAATCGAGTAGTATCGATGGCTGTTGATACAGCTATCGTTTTTTTTTTTTTTTTGTTACAAATCTTGTTGCGTCAATAATGGTTATCGCGTGTAATTCAATCACTGAAAAAAATCTCCAAACCAAGGATAAAAAATGTATACACAATTTGTCAAAAAAAAACCACAACTGGTTTAGATTTTGTTATCTGAACTAGGGTAATGGAAAAATCGAATCTACCTCTGCCAAATGTCAATAATCGAATGAAAGACAAAAATGGGTTAGGTATTTTTTTTTTTTAAGATCGACAATTTTCATTCGAATTAATAATCGATTTTTATAATATTATAATCATTTGTAGGATTACCATTTGATAGAGACCTGTAACACGTCCCTATCAATTTAAAATGCAATATAATTTGCATAATATAATATATATAGTACCTACTATCAAATATGAAATAACCCGACCCTACGTGCATGCGAAATAATATTATGTTCAGCTTTTCTAAATACGACGGTTATGAATAATATTAAAATTATGTTTAAAAATTCAAATGAAAAGCATATTTAAAAAGGTTGAAAACGTATAACTACTCAACTTTGTTTAACTCTGATAAGAACTAATAAGTATTACTAATAATAAACCGTGTAGTAGTTACAGTCAGTTTTCATTTTTTCTTTTTTTTTTATTTTTTTATAACAAATTATTTTAATTTTACTGTATTCATTAGTTTTTTTACATTATTTAGTTAATGGGAAATTGTGTTTTTAATTTTAATTATTTTTCAAACTTTAGTTATTAATTAACTTCCGCGTAATGATTACAACTTTTACAAAATGCGGTT